TTACCAACCATTTCAACTTTTAGACATATATAAAATTTTATGATAAACACCATATACATGTATTTATATATGTATACATACAACATTGAAGTATATAAGGTGTTAAAATTGTAAAATTTTGTAAAATTGTCACAATGTTGTTATGGTAACCATAATGTGTCAGTGAAAAGTTTTCCAATTAAAAATTCTTAAATCACTGCAAAAAAGTTTTAAAAAAACACTGCTTCCATACAAAACTTTTATTTATTTTTAGAAATGACAAGCTACCCTTTGATAGGTGGAGAGAAGGGAAAACTATTCAGAGGATTGAGAGGAAAATGAAAAGAGAAATGGATACTTGTGATAAACGTATGGAAACCATAGTTATAACTGGTTTGTAACTTTCAAATATTTGTATGTATATGTTTGTATTTTTTAGTGTAGATAATGAAAACTGTGTGCAATGGTTGTAAGTTACTGTAAATATAATAATGCTGCTCTTTGCTAAATTTTGGTTTTTATATGAAACTTGTTTCTTTTTTATAAACACAAACTTTAAACTTCTGAAGTAGAGGATCAGGAATTCTTTGTAGTTGTCTATTTTTTGTATGCACTACTGCTGTTTGCTAGTCCAAATGTATTTGTCTGGCAGTTCTTTAACCATTTTAACCTTCTGAAATTGTAAAATGGACTTGCCCAGCTTTCACTTTTGGAACTGTCCATTTTCAGATTTGGGGATATCAAGATGAAAATTTAACGTTATGTCTGCCAGTAGTATAGAGCCTGGTCAGACTGCACGGATACACATGCTGACCCGGTTCTATGCTGTTGTCAAAGTGTAATCATTTTCAATAAGTTAGTATAGTGTACATGTAAGTGTTTTTATAAGTCGTGCAAACAGCTTTGTTATTGCATAGTCAAACTTTTTTTATGGCATTAACACAAAATCTTATTTTGAAAAAAAATCATCTATGATGTACCTTTCTTATTTTACTTTTCAGCATCATTTTATGATGATATACATAAGTTTGTATCAAGTGTTGGTTGGGACCTTATCTTTGGCTTAAACTTGTTGCTAAGGAAACCAGATGGTGCATGGGACCCCAGCAATGCTGAAGAACTGATGAAGTACACAGTACAGTCAGGATATAAAATGGGAGGCTGGGAGCTAGGCAATGGTTAGTTCTAGACAATGGTTTGTTATCCCCCGCCGAAAAGGTGGCGGGGGATATAGTAATAGTCTCCGTCCATCCGTCCGACCTTCCATCCGTCCGTCTGTCCTTCCGTCCGACATTTTTGTCCGGAGCATATCTCTAAAAGTATTTGAGTTATCAACTTGAAACTTCATAGGTGGATAGACCTTATTGAGGAGGAGTGCAGTGCACAAGAATGATAACTCTATCCTGCATAATTTTTGAGTTATTGCCCTTTGTTATTTTTCAAAATTGATTTTTGTCCAGAGCATAACTCAAAAAGCCTATGAGATATCAACATGAAAATTCATAGGTACATAGATCTCACTCAGGAGGACTGGTGTGCAGTGCACAAGAATGAAAACACTACTTTTATAATTTTTGAGTTATTGCCCTTTGTTATTTTTCATACTTAATTTTTCACCTGAGTGGAGCATAACTCAAAAGTGTTTGAGATGTCAACATGAAATGTCATAGGTGGATAGATCTTATTGAGGAGGAATGCTGTGCTTAAGAATGATAACTCTTCCCTATACAATTTTTTAGTTATTGCCCTTTGTTCTTTTTCATACTATTTTGTCCGGAGCTTATCTCAAAAAGTATTTGAGGTATCAACTTGAAACTTCATAGCTAGATGGATCTCATTGAGGAGGGGTGCAGTGCACAAGAACAATAACTCTACCCTGCATAATTGTTTAGTTATTGCCCTTTGTTATTTTTCAAAATTAATTTTTGTCCAGAGCATAACTCAAAAGCCCTTTGAGATATCATTATGAAACTTCATAGGTGCATAGATCTAACTCAGGAGGTGTGCAGTGCACAAGAATGATAACTCTACCTTTTATAATTTTTGAGTTATTGCCCTTTGTTATTTTTCATACTTAATTTTTCAATTCAATTTTTTTCTCAAAAAGTATTTGAGGTATCAACTTGAAACTTCCTTGGTGGATAGATTTTACTGAGGAGGGATGCAGCACATTAGAATGATAACCTACCCTGCATTATTTTTCAGTTATTGCCCTTTGTTATTTTCAGCCATCAGTATTGACATAGGTTTCACATCTGTAATCACTATAGCCATCAGTTTTCATTACCAAAAGACCTCTTAAAATGGAATTATTCTGCTCTACTACATAAGTACATATACATTCTTCCAATGAGCAAACACATTCGGCGGGGGATGGCCATGTTGACATGGCTCTTGTTCAACATTGATTTCATTGTCATAAATCTCTGGTGAAGTAAAATTATGTTATTATTACAGTATAGAGGATATTCAAGTTTTTTCTGTATTACAGGTTTATTTTCATTGAGTGGTAAGAAAATAAATATTTTGTGAGTGGTGGTAGTCACAAGTGAAATATGGTCATTTTCATATCATAAGATGAAAATAAATCCTGTATTTATAGAATAAACTTGAATTTTCTGTTTATATATTATTTACCGGTACATTTTTCTATTCTTTTTTTAACATAATAATTTTCCCCTAAATTTTGTGTATTGGCTGAATTTAGAAGAAAGTAGTCTGGTAAGACACCAGTGAAAATATGGAAAATATGTTTCACTGCAGTGAAAAATATTTTTTTAAGAGTGAAAATATGAAAAATAAAAATACACATTTTATTTCATCAAAATTTCTCAATATTTTATTTATACGAACAAGGAAATACGTCATTTAAGGCCTCGAAAGGTTGGCTTGAGAGTTTCATTAAGAGACATAATATTTCATTTGGGTCTATGAGTGGTGAGAGGGGCGATGTAAAGCAGTCAACAATTTCTGAATGGACAGAAAAATTACCTACATTATGTGCAAACTATAAACCAGAAAATATTTTCAATATGGATGAAACGGGTTTATTTTTTCGTGACAGTGGACTTAAGACTTATCGATTAAAAGGTGATGATTGCGCTGGAGGGAAAAGATCAAAGGAGCGAATAACAGTGGCTTTGTGCTCTAGTTTGACCGGCGAGAAGATTAAGCCTCTTGTTATTGGTAAATCTCGTAACCCGAGGTGTTTTGGTAGAATGGACTTGAAAAGTTTGCCAGTTGATTATTTTTTTAATAAAAAAGCGTGGATGAACAGTTACATTTATGAAGAATTCCTGAAGTCACTAAACAGAAAAATGAAAAGTCAAAACAGAAACATTTTACTATTTGTCGACAACGCACCTTCACACCCCAAGATCAACTTGAGTAATATCAAAGTACAGTTTTTGCCGGCCAATACAACGTCTGTCACACAACCAATGGATCAGGGGATAATCCAGACAGTAAAACTCAAGTTCAGAAAACGTCAGGTAGGTTGTTTTTTCCGACATGAAAAATCACACACACATTATTTGAAGGCTAGGAAATCAATTTTAATTCTGCATGTAATAATTTCCTTTTTTGATTTGCAATAGAAATCTGCTTTTAATGTATAAATGCTAGTGTTGATGTCAGGTGGATAATTATTTTTGTCTTATTGTCAAATTTAATCTGCTTTTTCTGTAAGGCAGCATACTTTTAAGGTATCAACATGCGTTTTAACACATTTTTCTTTGTACATTTCAGTTACAACATATGATACGCGGTATGGAGCAACATCCAGCTATGCAGGGCAGTGAGCTTCTTAAACAAATAACAATCTTAGATGCAATTTACTGGCTCAGCAATTCATGGTCAGAAGTCGAGGGAAGCACAATTGTAAAATGTTTTTTAAAAGCTGGATTCAGTTTTGATTGTGATTATACAAATAGTTCAGGCAGTGCTCTTTCTGTTACTGGTGTTGATGCCAATGACGATGAGGATGATGATGATGATGTCCCGTTAGCAGTAATGCAAATGTCACACGAGCTTTTTGGGTGCGATTATAAAGACCTCATCAGAATTGATGAAGAATTGTTAACATGCGAAATACAAAATTCAAACTGGGATGCACCAATTGAAACTTTACTTTCACAATTTATGCCAGAAAATTGTGCTTTCTCTGCCGGCATTGATGGTGATGATGATGACAGTGATGACAATGATAATGATTCATCAGTATATGTACCGACTTACTCTGAGGCTTGTGACTATGTTAATAAACTTAAAACCTTTGCGGTCAGTTTAGGAAATCAGACACTGGTTGATAACATTGTCAAATTTGATGATGAGCTGTGCAACGAGATCTTGAACAAACCGAAACAAACACAGATTACTGATTTCTTTGAAAGGAGAACAGTGTAATTTAATATTTTAAGTCACCATGAGATATGCATTTAGTATGAATTTTAATTAGTGTTACCAAGAGACAATAATTTTAATATGAATTTTAATTAGTGTTACCAGAAGACAATGCATTTAATGTGAATTTTAATTAGTGTTACCAAGAGACAATGCATTAATATAATTTTTATTAGTGTATAGATAGCTGAACTTTATCCAGTGATACATTTTATTTTTTTAACTCCCTTTAACTGTCCTTTTTAATGATCTTAAAGTAAACAGGTAACATTTTAATGTTTTCAATGGTTTTATTGTTTTATCAAATAACACTGTACTGTATTTTTAATGTTTTATCTTTTTAAATGCAATAAAAGAAATAGTTTATAGCCAATTATCACTCTTATCTTAATGCCATGTATGTATTTCAATGAAATAAGTCAATACTTAGCTATACATGTACATATCCATGTACATTTTTAAACCAATGTTGGCAAATTTGGCAAGACTGTTTTAAGAGACTCCCTGTCATATGTGACCTTTTTTCTTGTTTCCCAAAGTAGGTCTCTTAAAACAGTTTAGACTGTATATAATAGATTATTTTATTGCCATATAACATTTATTACATTTTCAGAACCAAATAATTATGGTCGCAAGTTTGGATGTAAAGTAGGCGCGAGACAGCTAGTGAAGGACTTCCATACTTTAAACAGTTTATTAGGAGAATATCCTCAGTTTGATGATACTGAAGTGTTAGGCCCATCTGTCACACAGTTAAGTACTGATGATTATTTTCAAAGGTGATTTTAGTTTATTTGATACCTTTTAATTGGTACTGTTCTTCAGTCAAGTTTAAGGCAACAGAAAAATTATTTTGCTAAATTTATAAATTAAATGGTGTTGAATTTAAATGTAACCATTTAAGGCTGTAGTTGATTGAAAATTTTGTATTGATATACCAAAGGCTGAATATTCAAAAACATTTTAAAAAATAAAAATGATCGCAGTTTTTAGACATAATGGGCTTTTAAGTTCTTTATTTGTGGCATAAAAATAAAGTCAAGTACATATTGTATTTCAAATATTTCTCAGAGAGATATATTTACACAGAACTTACAAATCTGTATCCAGCTATTTGTTCATACTGTTTACTTCAGATTCGTAAATGCTGGTGGAGGAGAAGTTGTTACAGCACTAACATACCACCAGTGAGTTAAACACCCCTATTCTAATAATAAATGGAAAATTCCATTCTAGTATTTGCTTATGAAAAGTATAATATATTCTTTCGTTTGAGAAATTTATTCAGTTAGCTGGTCTTTACATGTAGTTATATTTAGGTATCCTTTCATGCCTGTAATGAGCCGCTTCACGACAAAACCAACATAGTGTGTTTGCGACCAGCATGGATCCAGACCAGCCTGTGCATCCGCGCAGTCTTATCAGGATCCATGCTGTTCGCTATCAGTTTCTCTACTTGTAATAGGGTTGGTAAGCGAACAGCATGGATCCTAATCAGACTGCGCCGATGCGCAGGCTGGTCTGAATCCATGCTGGTTGCAAACCCATTAGGTTGATTTTGTGGTGAAGCAGCTCAACTTGACTTCAATGGTGTCAATCTGCAGCTTTCTGATTAGCTCAATAGGTAGAACGATGGATTGTGAATCGGGCGACCTGGCTGCAGGTCACTTTTGTTGTGATTGATCATGAAATCCTTATTATGGTCATTCACACTGTACATCTGCTCTGGCATGTGCAGAAGTTTTAGATCTTTCCAAAAGTGAAGATATCTTTTACTGGTTAACTACTGCTTGACAGCCTGCCAAGGAACAATAGGGTGGTTGAACTAAGCTCTGGTAAATTCAGTGTAGCTTACTGCCGTGATCCAGAGTGAAAACTACCAACACTACCACCACCACAGTGTCAATATGACCAAACAGACAATAACATTTATTTTCATTTAATATAAAAATATGTAAAGTGTGGCAAATCAGTTTTTTTACACATTTTGTTTCTTGATTTTAGGTCATGTTCAAAACCCAAGAAAGTACATAATTATGTATTCTTGTTTTTTTTCCCATTTTTAGCTCGACTATTCAAAGAATATGAGAGCTAATGTAGTCGCCTCGGCGTCTGCGTTGGTTAAAGTTTTTTGTAAAGTCAAATATCTAAATTATTTCTTGAGATATTCAATTGAAACTTACAATACTTATTTATAGTAACAAGGTACATCAGATTGACAAGTTGGATAATTCTGCCTACAATATTTACAGAATTAAGCCCCTTTTTAACTTAGAAATTTTGGTAAAAGTTTTTTTGTAAAGTCAAATATCTCCATTATTGCTTCAGATATTCAATTGAAACTTACAATACTTATTTAAAGTAACAATGTACATCAGATTGAAAAGAAGTTGGATAATTCTGCCTACAATATTTACAGAATTAAGCCCCTTTTTAACTTAGAAATTTTGGTAAAAGTTTTTCGTAAAGTCAAATATCTCAATTATTGCTTCAGATATTCAATTGAAATTTACAATACTTTTTTAAAGTAACAATGTACATCAGTTTGCAAAGTTGCATAACTCTGTCTGCAATATTTGCAGAATTTTTTACTCCTTTGAAACTTAGAAATTTTGGTTAAAGGTTAAGGGTCTTCAAAGATATTTACTTGAAACTTTACACATGTACTTAGGGCCATAATTGGAGAGTCATACTTGTACAGTACGCTCAGCGCGACTTTTTCAAAACCCGCGTGACCCCGCGGATGAGGTTTACCGCGGACGAAAATTTGCTCAGATATTGTCCGCGTGACCCCGCGGACAGAAAATTTTCACCACCGCGGACATAAATCGGTGGCTGAAACCGTTTCCCCGCGGAACGCAGCGGTAAATGCGGAGGAACGCGGCGGTCAAACACCGGTCAACGCGGTGGAAACCTTAAATTTTTAAAAATTAATTACTGTAGTTAAACAGCAGTATACGTACGTACTGTACGCAACATGTACTGTACATATAACTATATGTAAAATTTGTTTGTTTGTTTTCTTTTTTGTTGTAATAAAAGTACATGTACAAATGCAGTGTATTTCTTGTTCTTCTTCTTGTTATTGTGTTGGGTAATGTATAATATGTATTCGACATCAAGATAAATTATTGTCGTCGCAACTTCATGGTAGTGAGAAACTTGAAGTCAAATAATGAAAAATTCGGCATATGACATTTATGACGTCTCTTTCATGCGTCTTACTGTTTCTGTTTATTTGCATGTTGATCATAAAGTCTTATATTTTATTTGGAACATTAAAAGAAAGCGTTTATTTCACCAAAATATACATTAAATGATATTCTTGATTTATCTAATTACAGGTGTGAGCGTAATGTATATGTTTTGAAGTTTGTATGAACTGTTGAAGTTTATTTTCATTTTTGTTTTAGTAGTTTGTTTGTTTGTTCTTTTTTACTTTTTTATAGATTTTTTTGCAGAATTTTTTTAAACTTGACGTTATACTTTTTGTTATTTTATTATGAACAGCATGTACATACATGTATATAAGGCAAACAAGCACATGGCAGTTATTTTCTAAGAATTTCCATCGCCCGATTTCCAAGTTAAAAATATTTCATTTTTTTTATCTTAAGATATTATTGTTCATGGGAATAATAGTATTTGTAGACAACATGTAGTTTTAAGTACATACAATTGAACTTAATTGTCTTTGCTTTCTTGTATTTATTATATTAAGTTTTTATTGAAATTAATTCCGAGGATAATAATGTAATTTTATAATTTGTAAAAGGCAGCCTAATTATTATTTTTTTAATGGGTGAATTTGTGTCAAACAAATATACGGTATGTACAGTATACAAAAACGTTTTGGCAAGTGTCATGCATATTTCTCATGTCCATTTTCGACGGGGTTTTTACTGTAAAAAAACAAAAACAAACAAGTGTACCCGTTTTTTAAAGAATATAATTGCATACAAATAAAATCTTATAGATGGTTTAAATATATTTTCTTTTATTTCTAAGATATGTACATGTATTTTATTTATGTCTTGTCTTGTATTCACACTCATCGACCTCTTACAGGACATGTACTGTAGCGTCAGTCATCATTGAGAAATCAGCACAAATGTCCTTTTTTTATACTAAGTATCATATTTATGGCTCCCATATAGTTTAACAGCAATAATACTTTGAGAATCACAAGGAATGAAAAAGTAAAGATGACAGTGATAAAAGACGATTTCAGTTGTAAAAATATTGGTATGTGGACGAATAGTTTTATGGACGTTTATAACAAAAATATTAAAAACAACAACAAAAACAGGTACAGCAGTAATTATGCCGTTCAAAAAAATTAACGTATAATAACATTTAAGGAGACGATTGTGGTCAATTTTCAAGTCATTGTGTAAAAAAGATGACGTTAAAAAATAATAAAACGTCTATTATTTTTGGAGGTTAATTTATACTGACCAACTGACCTTCGCGTTCCCCCGCAGGAAACGGGTGACTGATTTTATCGACGAATGAAGAACGGTCGTCAGAATTTTGTCCGCGGTGGAAACAACTGAACACCGGGGATCGCGGGGGAAATAAGGCTTTCATCGCGGACGAACCCCCGCGTTTGTCCGCGATAAAAAAAAATCGTCCGCGGTGGTATCGCGGAAAAGGCAAAACCCGCGGTGAGCGTACTGTATGTCACTGACCAAGTTACCTAATTCTATCTTGAATTTAGGCTGATTCTACTTAGTCTCTTGGTTAATGTTTACATGCAAGTTTTTACATATCTCAATAACTATTAAAGATATTTATTAAAACTTCACATATGCATTTAGGGTCATAATTGTAGGTCACTGAACAAGATCCATAATTCTACCTTGCATTTAGGCTGATTTTTCTCCCCTTTTTCAACTTAGAAATTCATGGTAAAGTTTTGCTTGTAAGCTGTTATCTACATAACTACTGAAGGGTTTGTGCCTTTTTTGGGACAATTTTATGCATTCGTAATAATAAAGCAGTGATTTACTTGATAAAACATCTTAATAACAAGCCTTTGTACCTTTTCGGTCAATTTTATGTATTCATGGGTAATTACCATTATTATACTCAATAAAACACCCTTGTGACAACTTTTTCGAATAGTCGAGCCAATACTGTCCTCGGACAGTTCTTGTCAAGGATAAAATTCCCACTAAAGGGAGAAGAAAATTTAGCAACTAGAATAAAATAAATAAAAAGTTATCATTTTGCAACATCTTAACTGCACAGAGTTTTCAGAGTTTTTACAGTATCTAGTTAACATGTTTCGATAACACATTGGTATATATTCAGATATTATGAAGATGGAAGTGTTGCAAAACTTGAAGACTTCTACAATCCTTATATCCTTAATATACTGTATAGACAGATACAAAAAGGGATGAACCTGACCAGGGCTGCTGGTACTAAAGCAAAGCTGTGGCTGGGAGAAACAAGTTCAGCATGGAGGAGTGGTGCCCCTGGGCTCTCAGATAGATATGTAGCTGCATTTATGTAAGTACATTGTATATAAATTATAAACATACTCCAGGATATTTTTTTTGTACCTAGTTCACCAGATTCAAAAAAAAAAAAATTGGATTTGGAATGTTTGTGAAACAGGGTTTGTACTGTATATAGTCAATTAACTTGTACTTCTAAAATGCTGCTATTGAGAAAAACATAACTTCTTCTTTTTTCAACTACAGTGCAATTTTACTGCATTAAAAGGTTCCATCAAGGTTTTTTGACTTGAAGGAACTAGAATTTTTTTTTTTTAAATTTGAGACTTTGATTCCAATTGTTATTAGTTCTTGATTGATAAATTTCAGATCAATTCCTCAGACTGTTTTCCTTGAATGAAAATGTTTTGAGTGCAAAATAATCAAAGAAAAAAAAATGTTGCAATGTTTTTAATCAAAGCAGACTTGAAAATGGTGTGAAAAGTCTATTTCCCGTTTACCTCTTCTTAAGTGTATTTCTTTATTTTCTTTTGCAGAATATTTTCCATTTTCAGTGCCCAAGTTGATCAGTTTTAGAAATTCAGATGTTATGTTTTTATGCTCCCCAAAAAATTTCAGGGGAGCATTATAGTCGAAGGGTTGTCCGTCCGTCCGTCAGTCAGTCAGTCCATCCATCCCAAAACTTTGTTATTTGAAGTCGGATTTTACAACCATTTCACAGAAATTATCACCATATTGAGACGTGTCGCGCGCAACATTTGGGTCCCTACCTTGAAGGTCAAGGTCACAGCATTACCTTGCAGCAAAATAGTATCCAGCCCATAACTTTGTTATTTGAAGTCGGATTTTACAACTATTTCACAGAAATGATCACCATATTGAGACGACTTGTTGCGCACAGCATTTGATTCGCTCCTTGAAGGTCAAGGTCACAGCATGACCTTGCAGCAAAATCTTGTCCGACCCATAACTTTGTTATTTCAAGTCAGATTTTACAACTGTTTCACAGAAATGATCACCATATTGAGACAACGTGTCTTGGGCAACATTTGGTTTTTTTTTACACTTTAAACTTTGTGACATAACTCTGACACTACAAGAGGTATACCTTCCTGTGTCCAACACCTATTCAGGGAGCATCACCCTGTTAAACCGGCTCTTGTTGACTAAGGTTGAAATCCTTTAGAATTAAGTTCTGATAACCTGTCTGTAAAGACCATACTGTGTAAGTGGATATTTATGCGTCACAAAAATTTTGTGAATGTCAAAAGATCCTTCTGTTTAGTTGTTTAATACCCTTTATTATACCCCAACAAATGAAGTTTAGGGGGGGTATATAGGAGTCAGCTTGTAGGTTGGTCGGTCAGTTCGTTGGTTAGTCGGTCTGTCCACATCACGGTTTCTGGACGATAACTAGAGTTTGGAATGAGGTATTGTAATCAAACTTGGTATATAGCAACCTTATGTGGAGACTCCGGTTGCTATTGCATTTGGACCCACTGGCTTCATGGTCAAGGTCACCGTTACTAAAAATAGAAAAATGGTTTCTGGACAATAACTACAGTTAGGAATGAGATATTGTAATCAAACTTGGTGTATAGTAAGCTTATATGAAGACCCGGTTTGGTATTGTATTTGGACCCCCTTGGGTCAAGGTCACTGTTACTAATTTTAGAAAAAATGGTTTCCCAACAATAACTAGAGTTAGGAATGGATATTGTAATCAAACTTGGTGTATAGCAAGCTTATATGAAGACTTGGGCTGGTATTGCATTTGGAGCCCCTGGGGTCAAGGCCAAGGTCATTGTTACTAAAAATACAAAAAATGTTTTCCGGACAATAACTAGAGTTAGGAATGACATATTGTAATCAAACTTAGTGTATAGCAAGCTTATATGAAGACCCCTGTTGGTATTGCATTTGGACCCCCTGAGATCTAGGTCAAGGTCACCGTTACTAAAAATAGAAAAATGGTTTACGGAATATAACTAGGAATCAAAATTGGTGTATACTAGCAAGCTGGGATTACGATTAATTGAAATATTTCTTTGTACACAGTTGATAGTTTGTGTTCAAATTTTTCTTCAGTCTACTTATTTTTCAAAAAGTCAAAGTTGCTGGTGGGGGTATTAATCACCTTCATTAATACACCCTCAGTGATAGGTCTAGTTATTTATAAATTTGTTTGATATATATATTCTTTTTTGTTAGTTTGATAAAGCACCTGATCACACATTTCTTTGTCATATTTTGAAACATTCTTTAATTTGTTCTATAAATAGCCTTTAGTGTGTTATTAACACATATATTTTGTTTCATTATATTATTTGTGATTTTTTAAAACCAAACGTAAACAAACGAGCAATGGGAAAAATCAATCTCAGTACCTGAACATTCACACTTATTCATGTAAGATGTATGAAAATGTGATTTCAAATGAAGAAAGTTTGATTAAAAGAATTTAAAGACACAATTGAATGTGGTTGTAATTTGATACCTATGTTAACATATATAAATGTACATTAATTAAGGTGGCTGGACAAATTAGGGATGTCGGCAAGAGATGGTTTCAATGCAGTTGTCAGGCAGTCATTTTATGGAGGCAATTATTCTCTTCTAGATAATGAAACCTGTGCTCCTAACCCTGTAAGTATACATAGAGGATATTAAATGAGTGTAGGTTTAATACTAAATCTATTGAACGAGTTGAATAAAATCATATTATGCGAGCCATTTTTAGTTTTCAATTTTACAGCTGGAGGGAAACCAAACCACTCATTTGTGGTTTATAAATATCACAAAATGATCACGCTAACTGGAAACTGAGCTGAACCGCTGACATCCCAGTGTCCTCGTGCTAAGTAAAAAAACTAAGCTACATGTACTGTGCATGTATATTGTAATATGATGTGAATATTGATGGAAATTAAGATTTGATTTGATAAATGAAATTAATATTAATTTATGACAGTATTGACTAGTTACCTACCCTGATGACAAGTTATACTAGTTACCTCCCCTATTGCCTAGTTATTTTAGTTACCTCCCTTGATCACCAGTTAATTTTTGGCTTGCAGCCGTCCTACTTACCAAAAGATCGTGACCGAATCACACAGAGAATTAGTGTGAACAAGTTAAAATTGCATAGCTCTATCACATTTGTCTGCGATCAAGTTATATTTAGCATTACTGTGTCTTGTATTTGAACGAAATTCTAACATGGAGTTTAAACTACTGTATAACGTCTTGGTGATCGGTAATCTAAAAATAGCCCATGCATATCATTATCCTTACGACGTGCTGATCTACAGATAGCGCATCCTGTGTTGTTGGTATATCTGTGATCAATAGACAAGTGACATAGATATTTTAGGTGTAACATTGTTGATACATGCATATTAATTGGTACCACGTAACGAAGTCTTTAAGTGCATTTACTTGCCTATAAAGCTGCTATTTAAATGAAATTAGCAACTGCCAAAACGAATGACTCTTTCTGCAAAAAAAAGTGAAAATTGAAATGTGCACACTTGTTACCCTTCAGTGTGATAGATAGATACTTTTATTTCCTCCATGTGGGTGAGCCAATGTTAGTATTTTTACGATTGATTATTTTCTTTATTAGTTTTATACAATAGAGAATAGATTTCAAGTCGCTTTTGACAAAAAAATATTCGTTTTAACAAAAAAAATGTTGTTACTTTTATCGTCACCATGTTCCGGTTCATTTATAATCAGTGGACTTCTGGTCCTTAATTCTTTTGTCCAAATTTGCATGCATAACACTGGTGGCACAAATGGGCACAGGTGCTCGTCCAGTCTTGGGGTTACCCTACCTACCCCTTTAAAACTTAAAGTGAAACATTTTTTTTTTTTTTCGAAAAAAAAAATCCTAAATAAACCCTTAATGATATACAAATAATTTTAAAAAAAGAGTTGATTTAGGAGGTTTTTCAAAAAAAAAATCATTTTTAAAGGGATGGGATGATATGGCACAACTGGGCAAGCCTTGCCTTTTAAAAGGAAACTTTATTGTTATCTTCCTGTTGACTACCAATAATCCTTCTCTTGACATTTGTAGTTATCGTATATACATTGTACCTTGTATATAACAAATTGTATATATAAAGTCTTCAGTTAAAACGGCTGTTTGATAACTTGTTTGATTTATTTTATAACAAGGACTACTGGTTGACAGTATTGTTCAAGTTACTTGTTGGGAACAAAGTGCTGAGAGTTATTTCCCCTGACAGTCTAGGGAAAATAAGGGCATATGCTCACTGTGCTGAAACCAGAAAGTAAGTAGCATTTTCACCAGGCAAACATTTTAGTTTACAATTCCAGACATTGGTGACAATTTTATTGAAGAGTTCAACATCTTGATATGACTACTTTTGAAATAAGTTTTACTAGTAGCCAATAAAAAGTATATTATAATTCATGCTTCCTGAATAATGCACATGTTCTGTCTGATATATTAAATAGAAAAAAAAAGTATGGGTCAAAATGGCAGTGGTTATATGATATACACAGTTATGTATCCTGAAAATTCTAACTTGATGTAAGATTTTGAAGTAAAAATATTTATAATTCAAGCAATGATTAACATGTTACATCATGCTATGAATAACTGATTTCGCAGTATTTATCACCATTTTTACATTTTGTATACTACTGTGACCAACACAGTAAGGGCATTTTTTGCATATTTTGACAATTATTTGGTAATTTTCTAGCATTATAGTATTATGATGCACAGTTTTTGTGATTATAATTATCCACAGACACTTGTTTAGAATGGAATATAAGGCATTTATAATGGCATTTCTCCAGTATATACTATTAAATTACACAAGATATTTTAATATTATTATTTTGTGTTATTTAATAGCATATACTGGAGTAATGCCATTATAAATGCATTATATTTGCTCTGTGATTATATCCCTAAGCATTTGACCTCGAACCGTGCATCATTCTACAACAATGCACTCAAAATTGATATCTATTTTCAAAATGTAACAATTAAACCAATTTATATAACTTCAGATCAGGTTATCCAGAGGGTAGTGTGACAGTGTATGTGATGAACATTGACCAGTCCCCAGTTACTATTGAACTTCCAGATTTTGCTAGAAACTCACCGTTACATGTATATAACATGCTCCCTGCAGACGATGATTTATTATCAAAGTAAGCAAAAGTTTTTAGCTCTGATAAAAAAAAAAATCCATACTGGGTACAGTTTGAAGTATTGTAACTTCATAGTGTAAGCCCTCTATCAAATATCATGTCACATTAAATAGTTTTGATTTTAATTTTTATTGCTACATGTATTACTGTTTTTGTAAAGTGATTGTGTGTGGGTTTTTTTTATTGATTTTTTAAAATCTATTGTTTTTGTAAGTATTTGTGTGTGTGTTTTTTTACTGATTTTTAATTTTGAAATAGAAATGGATGTAAATTTCATTTTGAAAAAATTTGATATGTCAGCTGTTTTTATTTTATTTTCAGATTTGTTTTACTGAATGGCAAAAAGCTTCAAATGGAAGACGACAAAACCATACCAAATTTACTACGTCCTGTAAAGACTACAAGAACAGTGTTGATTCCCGCCTTGTCATATAGTTTCATTGTGGTTCCAGATGCTAGATTACACTGCTGTATGTAAATGAATTTGAAATGTAACAGAACATTGCAGGGTTATTTTGTTTCTTTGTTTTTATGCCCCCGGGCATATAGTAATTGAACCGTCCGTCTGTCTGTCTGTACGAGGTTAACCTAGAACGGCAAGTTGGATTTTTCTTAAGTTCTACCTGTACCAATGGCTTTATAATTTCCACACTTACTTATCAATACAAAGTACATGATGTTGCCAAGTTATATAACTGTGTCATCCATATTTCCCAGTTATTTCCCTTTTTTCACTTTGAAAATAGGGCCTTGTCTGGTAAACCTTATTTCGGCAAGTTGGATTTATCTTCAATTTCTCCTAATTGCTTAATTTCTTTAATGATATCTTTCATTCATTTTTAGTAAGTGGATACCTTTGATGGTCCTCTAATTTTTTGCAGAGTAAGCGGTCTCTAGGGTCAAGGTCAAGGTCACTGGTTTAAAAAGTAAATACGTTTTTGCTCATACAGCCTTTATTTTTTAGTTGATGTCTTAGTTTAATACAAACATGCCAAGGGAGGTCCTCCTTCTTTGGGTGTAGTAAGGGGTCATTTGGGTCAAGGTCACTGTTACCAATATCAAGGTCGCCAATGTTAAAAATAGATTTTTACATTTTTACAGGTGTATTGACCTTATTCTATAGACAGATGCTATTTATAATTGATAGAAACATAAACTTTGATGGAGTTAGTGGTCAGTTGGGTCAAGGTCACCAGTGCTATAAATAGATTTTTACACATTTGCTCATACCTTTATTAAGTGACAGATATATTTTATATTTGGTAGGAAGATATTATGGTATTCATCCTTTTTATTGGGGTAGAGATCAGTGGGTCAAGGTCACTTGTGCTAAAAATAGATTTTTACACTTTTGCCCAGATATTGACAGATGTATTTCATATGTTGTAGGAAGATAACTTGCATGGTATTCTTCCTTTGGATGGAGTAAGGGGTCAGTTGGGTCAAGGTCACCAGTGTTAAAAATAGATTTTTACACTTTTGCCTATACAGCCTTTATTAATTTTATTGACAGATGTATTTCATATTTGGTAGGAAGATATCTTACATGGTATTCTTCTTTTGGATAGATCGAGGGGTCAGTTTGGTCAAGGTCACCAGTGCTCAAAATAGATTTTTACACTTTTGCCCATACATCCTTTATTTAATGACAGATGTATTTCAATTTTGGTAGGAAGATAACTTGCATGAAGTTGAATATTTTTCACAAGTCAGAGCAATGACTTGGCAACTTATATTTTTCACAATTACAAAATGCCATGACTTTGTCAAGCTATACAACTTGTGTTTACAATTTTTTTTTTGCAATTTTTCTGTCCATAACTGAGTGAATGGGTAAACATTTTTTGAAATATTGCTACTGACAAAAATCTGAGCCGGGGGCATTTGTGTTTAACAAACACGTTCTTGTTTGTTGTTGTTTTTTTGTGGGGACGGGGGGATCACTAGTGTAGTTTTATTTTGTTCCTATAAATGTTCTGAAATGAGGATTTCCTGCTAGGCAATCCTCTGTATAACTAAGAAGTTAAAATTGTGTACATATAGACCTTTGTACAAGGATTTGTAAGCAGGTCTGTTTTATAACACTGGAATAGGCAAACCATTAAGGCTAGTAGAGAGAGTGGTATCTCTGTGTTACTGCTGGCATTTCTTTTTTTATGATTTTTCTCTCAATAATTTACAGTTAAGGTAGTCTTACGGTAATGCTTTCCCGCCAAAAAAAATCTAACATCGGCCAATATTGTAGCAAATTGGTTATTTCCGGAATGTTATTTTTCCAAAATCTTGGACATTAGATTATTTACAATCACTCATTATGTACTAAATTCCAGTTACAAACGGTTAAAAATTATTGAATACCAAAGATTGTGAAAAATAACGTTCTGCAAATCACCTATTTATTACGGTATTGGCCGATGTTAGAATATTTTTGGCGGGAAAGCATTACAGTAAGACTGTCTTAAGTCTTCCTTTGAAATTGTCCATTTTAGTGATGTTATCTGCTGAAAGGTAAATTAATGTTATCTATCAGAGCAGTATAATGTGAGGCTTTCTATGTTAATAGCAATATTCTATACTGGTCATATTTCTGTGATTTTAGATGATTTTTCAGAAAGGCACACTAAGTTCTATAACAAATGGTGAAATTGTGTCATAGATGTATTAGAAATACTTTTTGTCACTAATTTGACAAACAATAGATCAGATGTCATTAGTTACCTTAAAGTATCAGGCAAAACTTGCATACTCGTATTTGAAAAAAAAGTACAAATGCAGAAGTCTGAAATACTCATCAGTTAATATTTCATGCTGACATGAGACATTAATTTAAATGTAACAAGTATTGAGAACATTTAAGCAAGATCATTTTTTCTTTCTAGGCAATATTTTCAGTCCAAGTGAAATGTCAATAAAATAGTAGAATTTTAGAGAGGAATACAGTGAGCCTATTATACAGGACATTATTTTACTTTCTTGTTAATTTTATAGTACATTGTCTTGAAATAGGATCTCATTTTATTAAATTGAATGTAATTATGTAGAATGTTCATTTCTGTTTATGACTTTGTTGAATAAAATCAATTGTTACACAAGATAAATGTTAAGTTTTCTCTATTTTTGTCCCCCACGTTTTCAAGGAAAAAAAGGATATATATAGGACCTGTCCATATGTCTGCCTATTGGTATTCTGTCTGTCACAGCTTGGCTATTCAACAAGGGATTTTGGTATAAACTAATGGCACAGTTGTTCACTATAGTGAGATGACATGTGTTGCTCAACACTAAGACCCCTTCCTCCGAGGTCAAGATCACACTTAGCATCCTCTGTTTCAGGACCAGTTTTATGCAAGGACCACAACTTTTCTATTCATCAAAGGAAATTTGAAATAAGTTTGCACAAACATTCGCCATGCAAAGACAGATGTGTTGTGCCAAACACTCGGTTTTAAACCCCAGGCAATAAATAAACTTAAAATATGAGTAGATAACTGTGAGAGGGAGTGTATTGCAAGAGAACCATAACTCCATCTTAAATAATTTTCAAAATGTCTCCCTTTATGCATTGATTTTCAGTGATAAAAACTGCTGAAATGCATTTATATTGACACATTCTCAGGGGTTATTATGCCCCCCTTCGAAGAAGAAGGGGTCTATTGTTTTGCTAATGTTGGTCGGTCTGCCTGTCGGTAGACCACATGATTTCTGCTGATTTTCTTGAAAACTATCACAAAGTCTTCATATTTCGCATAGTGATTGGTCATAATAAGTAGATGACCCCTATTGATTTTGGGGGTCAAGGTCACTGGGGCCTAATATGTCAGAATGATTTCTGCTGATTGTCTTGAAAAGTATTAATCACAAAGTTTTTATATTTTACATAGTGATTGGTGATAACCAGTAGAAGCTAGACCCCTATTGATTTCAGGGTCAAAGGTCACAGGGGCCTTAAATGTCAGAATGGTTTCTGCTCATTATCTTGGTTACTATTTATCACAGTCTTCATATCACTGCGGTATACCGTACCCCGGATATTGCTCGATATTATGAGGACTTTCATCCCATTTCGCGACTTTGAACGGGGAACGAAGGTAAGTTCAGCGACGATATTTTCCAAACTAATGGCTATTTCATTTATCTCAACGGGTTTTATATATCTAGAGGTATTTCTGTAGCTCTAAAAGACGTAAAAGTATTACAGGTATTTGTAAAATTGATTAAACTACCCCTAAACGATCCGCTGCTCACTAGAAAATACTGACCGCGATACTGTAGAATCGTTAGAAATTATTATATTACCAATATAAAAAAAAATTGAATCGAGCAATTTTTTTATTCTCAATCCAAGTATGCCTTGTCCAAATTTCAGGCAAAAAGTGTGAAAGTACAAAAAGATACAGGCCAAAAAAGATACAAGAAAGTGTACCGAGTATTGATTTTAAGTGTACAGAGTATTGCAAAATAGCCCAACTTTAGTGTACAGAGTATTGCAAAACATAAGTTTGGAAAATCGATATTTTTGTCTAATTTTCACGTCTGTTTATTGATTCAATTTCATTTTTCTGATAATGTACTGTTTATATGATATTTATTCAAATATTTCAGATTCAACAATGCATTTTCAGTGTTATTACTGTTCTTTTCCTACTGGCAAATACAGAGATTTAATTTCCCATTTGATTGAAAATCACACTATGGATGAAATAAAGTGTGTGCAGGGTCGGAAGCAGGGTAGAACAATCAAAATTGACGATAAAAAAACTTTAAATACATGTCTCAAGAAACTTTGATCAAGAAGACCCATCTCTGAAAAGGACAAGAATAAAAAAAAACATATTTAGATGACATTAATAATAGGTTTTTACAGGGCAAGTTTGCCTTAGGAAACATATCGACGCACTTCATAAAATATTGGCCCGAGGGCTTATGCCGTCCACAGAAAACTGAGATTTTTCACGAGCAGGAATGAAAATCTGGATTATTCGCAGATGTTTCCAGTAAAGTACCTCCGAATTCTGCATATTATGTACATATAGTGTAAATAAGTATACACAGTAAGAAATATTTAAAATTAAATGTGGTAAATACTTTGTGTTTACTACTTTCATTTACTCTTTATTGATAACCAATACTCGTTACACTAAAAGGCAATACTCGTGACACCGGCGGGCAACTCCAAAGCAATACTCGGTACACTGACATGTGTATTTATTCTCAAAATGCACTGTCATCTGAGGTTCTATTGTTGATTGAACATTTACAACATAAACATTATCATCATTATCACATTTCACTCGATTCAAGTTTTTCTTTTAAGGATGTATATGCACAAAAACATCAAATTTGACTGATCCGAGCTCATTTATCACGTGAGCAAAGAGACGAATTTTACCTCCTAATTACATTTCAAATCTATTTCTCAACATTTTTGGGGTTTCATTAACTAGAGAAATTATCGAAGTATTTGTATTTCTACAAAATTTATATCTAACCAATTCAAAATGACTAAATATCGTCACTAAACATACCTTCTTTCCTCGTTCAAAGTCGCGAAATGGGATGAAAGTCCTCATAATATCGAGCAATATCCGGGGTACGGTATACCGCAGTGCATATTTCACATATTGATTTGTCATAACTATAGTAGATGACCCCTATTGATTTTAGGGTCACCTGGTCAAAGGTCACAGGGGTCATAAATGAATGCTTTCTGCTCATTATCTTCATAACTATTTATCACAAAGTCTTTATATTTCACATATTTATTGGTCATAGCTAGTAGATAACCCCTATTGATTATGGGGTCACCAGGTCAAGGTCACAGGGTCCTTGAATGGTAGTATGATTTCAACTCATTATCTTGAAAGCTAATTATCACAATGTCTACATATTTCACATACTGATTGGTCATAACTAGTAAGTGACCCCTATTGATTTTGGGGTCAAAGGTCAAGGTTACAGGGTTCTTGAATGTTAGTTTGGTTTCCGCTCATTATGTTGACCGTTTCTTGTAACAGAAAGTGAAGTCAATTCATCTAAAGTAGGGATAGAATTGAGGCCTATCTGTCTTCCATTAATGTCAAATGAAACTGGTCTGAAAAAGAACAAATTATATTTAGTACATAGAACCTAACAAAAATCTAAAATTTAGTACTGTACAGCCGTTTACATAACAAAAATGGCTGCGCCCTTGCGAAGGACTACCATTGGATTAAAAAACGGTTTTGCCAAGAATCTGTTAAAAAGTAACAATGAATCGCGATCACCTGCATTCAGTTGTAAAAATATCCTAACGAGAAACTTTTCAAATAAATTCAATTCTTGTCGTTTTGCAAGTTTGAAGAAAAACTGGAAAATTGGTGCTTGCATGACAGCCGCAACATCAGTTTTCGCGACCAGCTATTTTAGATCTCGTAGAAGTTTTGCAGATGTTGAACCAAGACCAATATCAAGACATGTAAGATAAACATAAGAAAGTTATTTTCTGGATTTTGCGTCAATTTTTTTTACAAATAATGATTATGTAAGAAGATTATCATTAATTGATATGAAACAAAATCTGCTGTTTTTGCCACAGGGAAATCTTCTCTTATTTTGTTAAATCTATACTGGTTGGGGACCACCAAAACTGGACAACCACCAAACCCGGACGGCCCTGAAAATGCTTAATTTAGTTTTTTCTTTGTTCATTGGTTGTCGGTCACTTTTTTATCAACAATAAATGCATTTTTCTTCTAAAAATAAGTAATTAAATTTATTTCAACCACCGTAAATGGTAATATTTTAATGGCCATTTCAAGAATGTTGACGTTGAAATTTGGGGGTCAAGAAAACAATGCTTGACGTCATATACCAGCTATAATCATTTGTAGAGTAAACAATAGAATTTCCAAAACTTCAGCATTTGTTGCTGAAATATTGTATATCATGTTAAAAATTAAAAATCAAAACACCTAAGCTTTTATCTGAATTAAATCACGTCATGTACATAAATGTCCGGACACATGGTACTGCAGTGTAGACAATTGAGGTAATTTTGATACCCTCATTGTCGAGCCTCAGATACATGTATTAGTCAGAGCAACACAGGGCTCATCCGAAAGGGCGATTCAGGCGAAAACTTCGCTGTGTATATTTTCATTTCGCTCTCCCAATTGATCAAAGAGAAGTCAACATCGCCGATAAAATCTTAATTCCCAAAGAGTAATTACTTGGCGATGTAAAGAGCAGAGATTGTATCCGCCCATTTGACGACTGCTAATTATCATTATCCAATCAGAGCGTCGCTTTATACTACCCTTCTACTTGTATGCAAAGCGATAGACCGCCTACTGTAAACAGTAAATAATGAGAGCATCGGCCCGAAACGGGTATAATTGTGTGACAGTTTTGCGAGTTTAATACGGGATTAGGCGATAATTATAGATTGTTTTTTCCCCGATCATCTCAACACGTGCAAATCTTCCCTAATTGATATATATTTAACCCGAGTAATGGCGATGTGCAATGGGTTTTTCACGGCTATCACAAAACTGTTAGTCAATTAAAAATAATCAATTTCATTAATGATCAGCGACCAGATTAAAAACTTAATCATAGTTTTGAATGATTTCAGTCCGTTAACATCAATTAGAAATTGTTATGTCGCTCAGGTCATGGCTACAGGGCGAAATGCCCAAACCTAGCAGTAAAAGAAAGTTACTGATTCTGATACACCTACGCGAAAATTTAAGAAAGCCAATTCGCAAAAATCTTACAATTAGTATGTTGTAGACAGTGAGAGTGCTTTTTTTTGAGAAATTGGTAATTTTTACTCCAACTTCTTCAATCATGATAGGATTTTCTTCAAACTCCCACATCATAATAATATGACAAGGTTTATAAATCTAGCATCCATATTTCCAGAGATATCTCCTCCTTAAACTTTTAATTTTTCCTATTCGTTCTTTTAACTTTCATTTACTTCAAATTCAAAATAAACATTCAATATTCATACCTTCATTACTAATTGTTCTTTGTTACACTCACATCATGACATCGTTACCTCCTTTTTAAATATTTTGCTTTTAAAAATGTTATATTTTGAAAACAGGGATGTTTAAAAAATAACTTTAGAGTGTCCTTCAGTCCGTCTGTCTGTCTGTACATAAAAACTGTTTCCTGTGATCACTTTTAAAGAACTTTTTCAACAAATTTACTTAAAATAGAAACATAAGTGAATGGCCAATGGCCCTTCAGAATGTTGCTTGGGCTCTTACCGGTAGGGGACTTATGGATTGCTTGCAATACTATGATAATTGCTTGTTTATAATTGCTCAACAACGGTTGAACCATAAATCATTTTTAAAATGTCCGCCAACGAATAGTTTGCAATACAAATTTAAAAATAAAGCGCAAATATGCATTAAAAAAAATCACCCATAACAGTGGCCAATCAGAGCTACAATTTAAAAATAAGCATCTTATTCTTTTTATGAGACAGCAGATCATGAGATGGACTAAACTTGATCTGGTACATCTTTAGAGGATGTACTATTGTGTAAATAGCTAAAATTCTATTTCTATAAACATATTTATTTTAGCTGCTGTGTTGTCTTTTCTCTACTTTGGGAATGGTGCCGGTACCAGACTGATTTGGGAAAAAATGTATTATTATAAGATTAGTCATCATAAAAAAAGACAGCTAACGGGTTCCACTATCCATGCAGAACTATTGAGTGGTGATTTATATGAATATGTTGGATTTAAATGATTTCATAGAAATCGCTTGGCCTGGTGGGAATTTTGAACACACATTTTGGGAATTTAAACATTGGAAATTGGGAATTTTAATGTCTATTTCTATTGGGATTAGTGCCTTTTTAGGGTAGTAGTTAAAATTTAATATGAAATTAGACAAAGCCTATGAACGGGGAAGTCAGTTAAAAAAAGTTCATTTTTTCGTTTTAAAGGTGTCATTCGGTATTTTATGCACTGCTTTTGTTTTCACTCGGAATACTCAACGATTGTTATTAATCTAAAAGTTGCGATTGTTTGTTATCAGAATACCCCGTCTATTATCACCGAGTAACATTGAAAATGGTGGCGCCCGACTAGAACTGACATTAAAATTTCATTGATAGGTATAGAATTCTATATATTCTTTAACTGTATTTTATTTGATTTTCTTTTAAATATACACTTGTATTCTATAGCCGGGCAAGTCAAAGCCCAGGACCGCAAAGTGGTCCCGGCCTTTGGCTTCCCCGTATAAAGAAAAAAAAACTGTAGCTTAATTGTGATATTAATCACTTTTGAGTTCATGATTAAGTATAGGGCTAGAACCAATGATTCCTGGGTTGAGAGGTAGACACCTTAAACACAACGCTCCTCATAAATTTCTATTGTGTGTAATTTCAGGTTCCAGGAGTTGTTGATATTGGGAATCAAAAGTTCACTTTGTACCAATTCCAGTCCTGTCCATACTGCTGTAAGGCAAGAGCCGCGCTAGATTATTTTGGATTTACTTACGATGTGGTTGAAGTGAATTCAATTACTAAGTCCCAGATGAAGTTCTCAGAATATAAGAAAGTTCCTGTTCTAGTGGTTGATGGACAGATTGGCGATAAAGATTTTACATTGGTGAGTAAATTTGAATTCCTCTTTTTATTTAGACATTGTGCACAAAGTTCAATATGTGATTTATAAAGATTAATATGAATTGAAAACTTATATCAATTGCCACAAAAATGGTGCATTTTGCATGTTCAAGTACAAATTAATTTTGTGCAATTTTATATTTATGATCATGTCATTGCAATAGAAACTTACTGGTATTTTTAACAAAACCTGTCCATGGGCAGACCGGTCAATTTTTCTCAGTGTTAGATAGCTTAATAAAAGTTTGAAGTGAGTTAGTAACTATGATAGTTTCTGAGCAACTAACCCCTCTAAAGAGGTTAACCTGTGCAAAAAAATCTAAGTTGAAAAAGGGGAATAATTTAGCAAAAAATTAATTTTAGGATTATCTGCCCTTCTCAAATAGCATCCTTTCATGACAATTAACATAATTATATACCAAATTTGAAGTGAATAGCTAAATTGTGTAAGATAAAATGAACATGAAGGAAAGGTTAACTAATGTTGACAAAAGGACCATGTCATTTACTGACAATAGATGCACTTTTTTCTTTGTAAAGTGGAGCTAAAAATCATATTTTCTTCTTTTACCAATTAATACATGTAGGCTGTAGCTTTTTCCTTTTGGGTTATCAGTTAAGATATTCATGATGGCTAGTAAGTCACACGATGTGTTAGTTTTATGTAGTAATGTCTTTCCATAGTTCTTTTAATAAGCCAAATAAGTATGTGTAAAGTCTATAATATTTGTGTAACTTTTCACAATTTATTATTTGTGTACATTTCAGCAATTTAATGACTCCTCTACAATAGTCAGTGTTCTCGCAAGTTACGTGTATGACCAGAATACACCCCTGTATAAACTTCATCAATGTTACCCGGGAATCAAAGAGAAAGAGGGCAGGAAAACTGTCTGGGATTTCCCTAACAAGTATTTTATCATGTATGGTGAAAATATAGCAGATTCACGCACTGAAACCCAGAGAAGGTGAGTAAATCCATCAGAAGACTTTAGATCTCGTTGGTCAAGTGGTTAAGGTAGTTGACTTTAAATCACTTCCCCCTAACGGCTGTGTTTACAAGTCCCATTAGGGACCTTGGATTCTTTCATGTGAGAAAACCATCCAGCTATCATACTAAATATTGGTGGGTCTACTCAAGTGCCTGCTTGACATGCTGGTGACCCAAATGATGCACAAAAAATCAGTCAACTTGTTAGACTTGGACATTGCCATGTTCACCTTAAAATTATAAGTGTGATCAACTTATTACCAACAATACAAGCAGCAATAGATAATGTCTATTATGTACATGTAGCTTATTAACAAACATTTACAAAGCTTTGATGTTTTGTTATATATTAAATTTATATCACTGCACATATTTGTAACAATGCATTTCATTGGATATTTAATAGTGATAATGATATAATGCACTCAATATATACTCAACATCACTTATTCCGCATCATTACTTATTTCATGGTAATGACATATTTTTATTTTGACCAGTGTTAAAATTGGTCAGAATTGACATATTTTATTCATACATCTATACAACAAAGTTTTTGTGCAAAATAATTTAAATCTTTCGGTTTTTATGTAAAACAGAGCAACATTTTACAAATTTCTGCAAAAAGCAATAATAGTCCAATAAATTTGTGCGTATGTCTGAAACAATCATAATTTTCTAAATGTTCTTGCTTGTTGAAAAATCAATTTTGATTTACTAAGTAAGGATAATTTTAATATTTAAAATCAAGCAAAATAACATGTAGAAATTTTAACTGAAACATGAAAAAACTGAAATGTAACACCATTACTGTGGTTTAAATGATGTCATACTGTTTTCATAATGGCCAACATATGGTCTACGTTTGATCCATTAAAATTGACTTTGACTGAACATATTGTTGTTTCCTTGTGCCATACAGCAGAAAATACCTATATGTAATAGCTTTTGACAATTTTTGTACCATAAGTTCCATTTGTTGTTTTCTTTCTGGTTTAAAAGCGTTAAGTACCATGAAGTAAGAGGAGCACAGTATAATTATAAAGTAATTTTAATTTTCTCTCAAAAAGACATTTTTCTGTATTATAAATTCTTCATAAATTTTTTTAACTGCTTATATGGTTGTTTGCAATATAACCATTGGCTTGTGCCTGGTGTGGGGGTGGTTGGGGTGGGGGTCAGATTAATTTCACAAATAAACATTACAATTATACTTAACCTATCTGACTTTTTCATTAACCATTCAAACTATGACTACACAGAAATATGAGCTAGCTTACGGAACGTTGGTGGTTCTACTCAGGTGCCTGTCCATGCCTGAAATGATGCACAGAAGGGCATCCGAGGTCTTCCTCCACCAGTAAAGCTGGAACATCGCCAAATGACCTATACGGTGTCGGTGTGACGTAAAATCAAATTTAACAAACAGAAGTACAATTAAGGTGAATTTTCAAGGCATACTAGCATTGAGACTGTTAATAGAAATTATGTTACTTGGTAATCAATATAAACTTGTTCATATCTGACAAAAGAACTTGAGTATAAGGCTGATAGAATAACAGGGTGATTCCTTATTTATATGATTTTCTTTAGATTTGATTATGGCAGTTTCTCGTTTTATGGTAGTTTCTTGATTTATGGTAGTTTCTCTTCACTTATTTCCAGAAATGACAAGAATAATAATAATGATGATGAAGCTATAGCAAGGGAAAGGTTGTATCCATGATGATATAAGTGAATGTTCTGCTTTGCTTTGATAGTTGTTTATTATATTGCAGTTGTATATTTTTATTGCAGTTGTATATTTGTATTGCATTTGTATATTTATTGTATATTTGTATATTTATATTGCAGTTGCAGTTGTATATTTATATTGCACTCTTTTAAGCAGTTTTATTTTCATACTGCGGTCATTTTTATGCTCCTACAAAGTGGGGAGCATATAGCGTTGCACTTGTCCCGTCTGTCCCGAAATCTTGTGAACGCATCTCCTCTTAAACCGGATAGCAGATTTTGCTTAAACTTCCAGGGATGAACCACCTTAATGTGTAGATGGAAGTTAAGGAAGGAATTTTTACTGCGACCAAATTTTACAGTTTTATGGCCCTTTGTTGATTTTTTCACTATATACCATATATATGTTGTCAGTGGGGGCATCCGTGTCCTTTGGACACAGTTCTAGTTATGTTTGTTAAGCTTTGCTTCATTTCACTGCAGCTTTTTAGATTACTGTGTTATCAAACTTTTATAACACTGATTTGTAAATTCAGAGCTTCTTTCTGAAGTTTCTTGGAGTGATCTTGGTGTAATATAACTAGATTAACTAAGATAATAATCATTATCAAAATTGTGGCTTTAGCATTTTTCCTTTAATAAACCATTTGCTTTAATGACCTGCTTGTTCTTGATAATATGAGCCCTCCTCCTTGCCCCACCCTAACAATTTAAAGAGGATAGTTTCCTATTAAAAAACTTAGGTTTCATTTTCACTTTACCGTAAATATCTTAAATGGACTTGTCCATCTTTCAATGTAGACTAAACCATTCATCCTTTTTAGGGAAAATTTTAAAATAAATTTTGACAGAATAGTAGATGATCTTAACCTGCACTGATTGCATTGATAAAAGCTGTTGTTGCTTAGCAAGCTTGCTGATACTGTGGAGAAGACATTTATCATTTTTGGGGTCAATATTAAGTCAAAGGTCACTGTCACCTTGAATCGAAAACTGTATAATAATTACAGTATGCACAGATCCCTGACGTGTCTAATTCTGGTTATCAGATTAGTGGATACAATAAGAATTTCACCACAACCTTTTTGTTAACAAATGAGCACATGCCAATGTTTTGGTTAAATCTATTGTGATTCAAGTAAAAGGTCAGAATAGGGATCTATCAATTAAGATTTCAATTAAACCTGTGTATTCAAAGGTTGGTCGTATGAACTAAAAAAATTACTTTAATTGAGGGAAAATAGGTCAAGTACTTATTACTTTAATTGAAAGTAATTGAGGGCAAATATTAGTAGGTCAAGTACTTATCGGTACTGTTGTATTTTTAGGTCAGTTTGTCAAAGGTTTGGTCATATTCGTTGCAATTTCACTGGAATCTGGGTAGTGGGGAGGGGTATGTTTGCTGTCATAACACGCTTTTTCCACTGATTGTTCTGACATGCTTTATTGCAATGTATTTCTTTACTTCATATAATTATATTATATAAATGATAAACTGAATTACTTAGATAAATTCAATACAGATTTTTGTTTATAAGTCATTTTGAAGATAAGATACATTAAGTTTAAGCAGTATAGCCACCAGATTCATGCTAATTTTAATGAAAATTTTGTTTTAAAAAGTAAAATATTGTCAAGTGAACGAAGAAAGTAATTTATACATTGCAAATGACACTAAGAATATTACCAATGAATAGGTCAGGATATAGAAAAATATCCTTTAATACTTTGTTTCTCCACACAGTAGATATTATGGGGATAAATACAGAAAATCAGTCATGAATTGTATGAAACATGTAAATTATTTTTCAATTGTGAATATTTTTACTTTATAAGTACTTTTGCTGAAGGTAAATTTTAAAATATTTTAGCTATCTGGAGGCATGCAGCTTTAAATAAGTTATTCTTTGTTATGAATAAACATGAAATCATTGGTATTCAAATCTTCTAATTCAGATTTGTTGTTGTTTGTATTTTCTAAACTCTGTTGCAGGCTTATGATGACTAAAATGAATAACTTTAGAGATTTATACATAACATGTTAAATATGTTAAATGTTCAAGTCCAACATCTGTTTTTGGATCTCACCATTATAGATTTTTGAGACATCAAGATGAAAATTTGAAGTTGCATTTGTATTTAGCCAACAATATAGAACCTGGTCAGACTGCAAGGATGCATGCTAGCCTGGTTCTATGCTGGTGGCAATGACTCATTTGGGTCCGGCAGGTTAAAGGGGTCATATTTCAGGATAATTCTAGTATGAAAGAAAAAGTTAAAGTCTATAACTGTTATAAAAGAAGCGGTGGCCTAGTGGTTAATGTGTCTGTCTCTTATACCAGAGATCATGGGTTTGAGCCATAATCGGGTCAAGACCATGTTTCTTCAAATGACAACAGTACAGGTTGGTTCCAGGAAGCGGACCCAAAAGTGATTAATATAAGTTGCAAGAACTTGTTTCACAATCAAGCTTAAACAAATATGTTTAAACCAAACTATAACTGTTAAAATTCCACTCTGTATATGTATAATTGAAGAATTTAAAGTAAAATTCTTTGTTTGAACTTTATAAGTTAATTATGATGTGAAAATTATCCATTCATTCATGGAGATGTGAAATTTTTTTTAAAAATATTTTCCTCACTCTTTTTAAGGGATGAAAGGAAATGGCGGAGGTGGACAGACGATATTCTGATGCACACAATTTCACCAAACGTTTATCGCACTCTGCCAGAGTCACTAGAAGCTTTCCATCATTTCTCTGAATGGGGCGAGTGGGACAAAAACTTCTCAACCGGGACAAGACTGGGAATAGTCTATGTAGGGGCATTTGTGATGTACTTCATCGGAAAATTGGTAAAAAGAAGGTAATTTTTTGCTCTTCATAAAAGAATTATGGCACTTAATTTGTCATGAAGAATAAGTTTGTAAATAATTCCAAAACATACAGAAACATTAGTGAAAATTTTTTGACTGGCTCATAAAAAAAATCTTTTTGTAAGATATTCTAAATTGTTTTGGCATTTTGTCTTAATTTGTTTATTCATATAATTTTGTTACGGTCTGTCACTTTGTATTCTGACTTTATTATTTAGGACAATTGAATCAAAAACCAACACAAATTTAAATATCAAAACATGTTTCGCTTTATTCAGCTTCCTCAGTTGATACACAAGTTGATACATATTATTTGAAATTATATGAATGTTCTATTTTTAGACATGACATTATATGAATTATCTTTTTTTAGACATGACATTATATGAATGTTCTATTTTTAGACATGACATAAAAGACAATCCACGGGAATCTCTGTATGATGCGTGTGATGAATGGATGAAAGCTGTGGGGAAAAAACAATTCTATGGTGGTGATAAACCAAATCTTGCTGATCTTGTAAGTTAACATGATGTGTTGGGCTTTATTTCTTCTTAAAATAGGTTTAACTTTAAGGAATGTCGAAATTGAAAATTTTGCGGGCTTGGTTTTATTGAGTTTGTCCAGTGAGAGTAGAGGTAAATGCAAATGTCTGTGTCCCACCAGCATTAGTTAACCATAATTCACTGTTTACATGTGAAAATGTTGAAATGTAGAATTTGGTAATATACATAAATTGTACTCGTCAAACTATTATTCTATTATTGTGAAACTTTAATGCCATTTTATGTAACTTAAATGATGTGCTGAACAAAATGAAATGGCATTTAGAGACGGAAACAGCGCTTCTAAACCATTCATTTATACATGTATATTAAGTTTCAGTTTGATACCTTCACTGGTTTTAAAGATATTGAAACGAAAAAATTGAATGGAAATGTACAAAATGATTCCTATTTATCCCAGTATCAAACTATGTCTTCAATCATATCGAACTGAAACAAATACAATAGGCAAATGGTGCCGTGGCATGGCTGAGAGGTTAACACGTCAGAATATTAAGGATCTATAACTGTGTGTGTTCAAACCCCGTCAGGGGCAAGCTGTTGTTTCTTTCAGCTTTACACGGACAGCTCAGTACTGGTTAGTTCCAGGACTGGATTCGAAAGTGTGTCTATAAGCTTTTAGCTTCCTACGCAATCAAACTTAAATAAATTCTGTGGAAACTAAATATAGCAGCTGTTGGAGAAATGGTCAAGGTTTGTCTTAGTACAATTTTTTTAGACAGACAGACATATTTGTTTAATTGTCATACTTTAAATTTAAGAATACCATAGATTACTATTTTTAAAGGAGAGGCAAACCTGTCCAGTAAACCTTGTTGGTGAAGTTTATGGCCATTAAGTTGAATATTAATAACACTATAACCAGTTAACATCTGTGCTGTCTGACCAACTCTATACTGTGGCTGAACAACTTAAAGTTTTCATCTTAATATCCACAAAATTGATAATGGACAGTTGTGAAAATGGAAATTCAAGAGGCAAAGGGTTTATATGTAGGCATGCACAGAGCATACATGTGAACTTTTTTCCATGATAAAGAGGGAGATTTTTCTTCAAAAAGAGGGAGATTTTAGAATTTGCAATAAAGAAAGAAGGAAGTTCTTACATCAAAAAGAGGGAGATTTCTTTAATTTGTGAAAATATTTTAAGAAAAATCTTTGGAAATATGGCTGCAGAAAGTTGGAATCTTCTGCTTAAAGAGTTTGCATGTACATTTGTATGGTGCAGTTTGCTCAACAAAGAAATTATACATGTAGTATTAAATCAACATTTTGACCAGATGACTCATTTATGTTAGAAACTTTATTTTATTTTTCAGTCAGTTTACGGTGCTCTGCATTCATTTGAAGGATGTCTCGCTCACAAAGATCTTATGGAATTTCACCGTATAGAAAAGTGGTACAAGCGTATGGAGCAACAAATAAATGGACACGAAGGGGCGCATCTTTTGAAAGTAGCCCCCAGTAAACATCCAAACTTACAACTATAGTGAAAATAAATTTTGAAATGAAAATGAAGAAAAATTAAATAATTCAAAAACCTTTAACAGATCTTAAAGATATTGTATTTCCTGACAATTGAGTGTTTGAACAAGATATGGCTCAAAAAGGTTGTTATGTGGAAATTTTTATATTTGTACGAGTGATCTTTTTTTGTGGCTGACTGGTTACGAATGCTTGAATAAAATAATTTCTCCATTTTATTGTGTGCTCAAATCCGGCATTGGAATAAAGGGGAGTAGGGGGATGGAAACATTCAACAAATAATTGAGCCGCGTCACAACAAAACCAACATAGTGTGTTTGCGACCAGCATGGATCCAGACCAGCCTGCGCATCCACGCAGTCTGACCAGGATCCATGCTGTTCGCTATCAGTTTCTCTACTATAAGCGAACAGCATGGATCCTGATCAGACTGTGCGGATGCGCAGGCTGGTTTGGATCCATGCTGGTCGCAAACCCATTATGTTGGTTTTGTCATGACACGGCTCAAATTTTAATAAAACCACAGAGATACTATTAGAACATGAAAGTTAACATTACAGGAATTTGTAGGTTTTCTTGTATTACTTAACGAAATTGGAAAGTGCTAAATGATCTAAATAAATAGTGAGTCAGAGACTTTAAAAACCTTACACAAATTATCATTGCAGTATTAAAATACAAATCTGAGCAAATTCTTGGCAACATTGAGAAAGCCTTTTTTATGTATTGTGGGATGAGTAAAACTTTGTGATCATATGTTATGGTACATGTATGTACAAACGTATAATGTTTATCCATCATAGGTTTGCAGTTGTCATTGAATCTAATTAGCATCTGTTTGACATGGAAGAACTAAAGAAATCATTGTCGGGCAAATGTTTGTTAAATACTGTAATTGAGCTAGATTAAATGATTAAACTAGCTGTTGATGGAAGAAATGTTAATTTTGTTTGCAAGTCATTGCCAAAGTATTTTGTTGTTGTTAAAATGTATATTGCAAAGTGTTTTTGTATGTGAAACTGAGTGTGAATTCTTTTAATTTATTTCTTTCTTTGTGAATAAATGATTAAATGTTCTTGAGATTTCTATATTTCTTACTCAAGCTAATGTTTTCCTAAGAAAACACAATCCTACATGTACATCATAGGCCAACTACTTCAGCAGCGTAAGAGAACAGTAACAATTGTTTTTCTCTCGTTGGATTAACTTGTAAAGACGTTGGAATGTCAAGTTGAATTTCATCACAAGTTTGACTAGCAAAATTACACCAGATATTTAGAGGACATTATTTTGTTAGGTCAGCAGAAAATTGCAACTTTATTCAAAAGATGTTATCCGGAACTCGGCAAATATGGGTTTTTCCCCATCTAATCTGTAGGTACAAACAAACTTTTTCCATTAAAAGCTTCCTTGTGCCTGAACTAATTTTTAAATATTTGCCATTGTGGGGGATGATGGTCATATTCAAAGGGTATAGAAAATAGGTGAGGATATACGAATAACTTTCTTTTTTTTTTTTCTTTTACCGAAATTCTTTTTAGACCAAAAAACCAATGAACTTATGTTCTATGCCTTGAAGTGGGATGATGATCACTTCAAAGCAATATCTCAAAGGGTCTAGGAAAAAAAGTCATGAGGGGGGATGAAAAAAAATAAGCCGATAAAAATATCATTTTTCCCAAATTTAAAAAGGTCCAAAAATTTTTAAAGTTTATCCCCTTGTCTTGAAGTTGGAATGATTTCAAACCATTATTCCAAAGGGTATAGGAAATGTTAAGTGGTACAAAAGCCTTAAGTGAAATTTTATGTCGAAAAAAAGGGCACAATTTTGTCAAATTCCATGATACAGAGTTATATCCTCTTGCCTGGAAGTGAATGTGATAATCACTAACAAGTATTTTTTAAGGCAATACCTTAGTGGATATAGGAAATATGCAGGGTGCTACTAAAACTTTGAAAGTGTAAAGTGTTTTAAAGTTTCTGAGCTATTCTCCAAAGGGATAAGGGAGGCAAAACTAAAAACTGACACGCCAATGCCCAGGTGAGAAGGATTGCTCCCTGTATCATAATAAATATATTTTGTAGTTAAAATAAAAGTATGCAGTTTTAATATTTGGCATCATGATTTATCTAAAATGTTTGTGAAAAACACAGCCCTTCAGTTTGGTCAGTTCGGACACTGCCACAATAATCATAATTTTACACATTCAAAATCTGAAAAAAAAGTTATTTCCAAGAGGTTTGATATTTATTAAAATAGTATGCCTGTAGTAAAATCTAGTGATCCTTACCAAGTTTGTGCAAATTACTGCACTGGGGTCAAAATCATCCATGTACCAAAGGTCACAGACTTGCAGAATTGCTTTTTTTTCTCTCGCCCCTGTCATGCGATTGGCAATTGGTTTTAAACATATTTATCGAAGCTCTATTGCGAAACAAGTTTCTGTTACTTATATTAAAGCACTTTTGTCCTGGAACCAACCAGTACTTGTGTCATATGAAGAAACATAGTTGTGACCAGATAAGGGCTCGCACCCATGATTGCAGACACATTAACCACTAGGCTATCACCAAAGCAATATGGGTGGGGGTAGATATAATTTTTACAGTGGTCATATTTGTTCCAGAATGTTGTGCATAAAATCATATTCTATATAACATTTTCATAACTTTTGCGAATTTTCAAGATTGAATTTAGAACTTTTAAACAAACTTTAATTGACATTTTGGATAAAGTCCTATATTTTGACTACTATTTGTTGCATATCTAACATAGCATTAAGTTGAAGGACGACTATATTCAACACATTGAAAGCATACAGGGATTAAACAAAATTCATTTCAGAAATGTTTGAATTAAAAGTTTATTTTAACATTTTTCAATTTCAAACTATAAAATGAGTCTTGCCTTTCTTTTATTTGAAAAACTAGACAAAAAAATATTTTGTTTCCAACTTTCATAACTTTATGATGCCTAGTCTTCTTACAGCACATTATACACTAACATTCTGTTTAGTTTGTCACTTTGTGTTGTTAATTTTCATTTCTAGGTCAAATTACACAAAACGTGTCATTAAATATGTAAACAAAAAATATGTCCAATGATTTGGAAGAAATTAAACTTTCATATCATCAGCTACATCGATAGGTTTTCTTTTCTGTCTAACCAGCTCTTCTCTGATAGCCTGGAATCTATTTTCCTGAAAATAACAAAACAGAACCAAGAAATTTTAAAAAATGCACACCTCCAGATTTGTATATATTTTGATAGTTTGAGCAATGAATCGGGATTCATTTGAAATTTTGGTTGCATGCGGGGACATTCATGGCATTACGACACATTTCTAGTTCTAAGTATTTGTTAGACCATTATCACTGGTAGACTGTATTTGTCAGAAACCTTATGGAATATGATGTTTCTGTGTCAAGTTATTAAGTATTTTGTACAATCTATGAAATGCATCTATTTTGTACAATCTATGAAATGCATCTATTTTGTACAATCTATGAAATGCATCTATTTTGTACAATCTATGAAATGCATCTATTTTGTACAATCTATGAAATGCATCTATTTTGTACAATCTATGAAATGCATCTATTTTGTACAATCTATGAAATGCATCTATTTTGTACAATCTATGAAATGCATCTATTTTGTACAATCTATGAAATGCATCGACTTAGAAGTTTCACTATTCCCTTCCCTATCTACTTTACTTTTTTTTCAAGAAAAACTGATATGTTACTGACAAAAAAGTTTGTTTGTTTGATACGGTTTTCTGTCATTTTGACACAGTACAGGTCATATGAAGACATTCCAGCTTTACTGGTGGAGGAAGACCTGGAAAACCAATATATGACCTTTACAATATCGTTGCGACTTAAAACCAACCAGAGTAGGTAAGTACTAATGTTACTTACGCTCTTTAGCCGAGATATACATTCTTTATAATCATCAAAACTTTTTGGGCACAACTCTTTAGAATTCGCCAAACCAACTCGATCGGCACATTTAAGCCACTCTATCTCCATGTCTGCACATCTCGAATTACCCAGTGTATAGAAATCTATAAAGCTCAGTCTTGTTGGAGAAACAAACGTGTATCTGTCCCAGAACCACCCCGGCATTGTCACCTCTTCTCTTTATCTGGAAAGAAAACAAAATTTTATAAAGGAATTATGGTCAACCTAATGTTAACATATTGGATTTGTAAACAGAATAAATTAAAGAATGAACCAATCTGTCCATAAGTAAAAAAAAAAACATTACTAGAATTTAAGCAAAATTAAATAACTTGATCATGATGGTCAAGGTAATTCTTAGATCAAGGTCATATTTTAATTTAACAATATTGGTTGTCTTTGTCTCATTTAAATCATATTCATAAATAAACAAGCAATTATCAAAGTATTATAATCAATACAAAAGTCCACTACCGATTAGAACCCCAGCAACATTCTGAACAACCATGGCCATTCAATTATGCTACTGTGAAAGACATGAATGAACTTAATTTTTTTGAGTTCTGAAATGTATATAAAAAAGGGAAATCAATAACCCCCTTTGGCGGGGGCCAATTTTGAGCCCAATTCAGTGGTTTTTTTTCTTTATATAACTACTACCCGAAAAAGGTACTGTTCCCAATGGAAAAAAGACATTAAAATTCCCAATTTCTAATGTGAAAATTCCCAAAATGACTGTTCAAGGCCATGAGATTTCTCTTAAATCATTTAAAATCAAACATGTTTAAATAAATCACCACTAAATAGTTCTACCTGGACAGTGGAAGCTGTTAGCTGTCTTTATTCATTATGACTAATCTTATTTGTAGCTGAAAAGATGCTTAATAAAAATTCCCAATTTGAGTCAAAATAACGCATTTTCCCAATCAATCTGGTACCGGCACCATTCCCAAAGTAGAGAAAAAAAACGCTGCAATTGTAACGCCAGGGCTTTTATTTGAACAAACTTGGTTGACACCCACTAGAAAATGTTTCAATTCATGCTAAATATCTAAGCTCTAGCTGTTTGGGTATTATATCAGAAGATTTTTTTTGTTTTTACTATATACATATTAGGAAAATCAATGACTCTACCCAGGCGGGGCCAGTTTTGAGCCACGGGCTTTTAATTGAACAAACTTGGTACACATTCACTAGATGTTTCATGTCAAATATCTAAGCTCTAGCTCTTTGGGTTTTTTAAAAGAAGATTTTTCAGTTTTTTCTTTCGGTTGCCATATGGCAACCAGAGTTCTGTATGGAATTAAATTCTTTGAGGTGACTACCAACTGAACATTCCTGTGAAGTTTGGATGAAATCGGCTTAGTGGTTTATAAGGAAATGTCGTTTAAAATAAAAGTTAAAGGATGGACAGACACCGGGCGAATTGTGATCACAAATGCTCACTTTGTCAATTAGCCATGTCATCTGGTAAAAACATTCGCCAAATCCTGTAGATTTGATCACCTCATATTCAACGGTAATTTTCACTAAATAGCACTAAACAGAGTTAATAATTGCTTGCAGGCAGGTTCAATTTATGCTGGCCAGTTGTTGATTACATTTTCTTACACCTTCCCTCAGGAAGCCAAAGGGGGTAAACCATTAATTGATCTAAATTATTGCCGATAATTGATACAAGATACAAGAAACTTTATTTTAAGTCGGTTTACATATAGAAACTTTAGCTAATAAGCTATTTACCAACAATAACAAAGACATGAAACATATTATAAACTAACATATAACAGACATATAAAACTAGTAGCAACTTCAGGCATTGATACTTGGAAGGGGCACATAGATTAACAATGTACCAATCAAAAGATTAGTGTCACCACTTACTGTATATTACTATGCTGTATAAGTGTAATCGTTCCATTATTAGCAATTTAGCATTCTAGAATAGCTGATAACTTGACAATAAGTTTACATAAAAAAAAGTAAAAATTTCTGTTTTTATTTTCACCGGGATATAAATCATCTGTGTCGCCTCCAGGAAAAACACATGATTTACGGGGACAGTCCTGGACGTTATGGCATATATGATCAAACTGTCACATCCGAAAAATCATTTCATTTAATTAAATTCCTTATACAGATGTATAGGCTACAGCTCATACATTCGGAACTGCCTCGGCTATTATCTATAATATTAACCTCGGAAACAATACGGATTGAAAGTAGTTCTACCACGTGGTTTCAGATGTAAACAGAAACAGAGATAATGTAAAACAAATGTATATATTTGACATCTAATGCCTGTTCCGGTACTCGTTTGCTTGAAAATATGTCTGACAACAATTTGTAATTTAAATATGCCCACTGATGTTCAATTTTAAACAAATCCGACGAAATGTCAACAGGTTGGTTTTTTGTACTTTCGGTTTCTACAACCATAAAAATAAATATATAAATAATGAATTGTTTGCTTTTGTACCTATGATATCACTTATTTTAGGTGAACTTTTACTACATATATTGACAATAAACTTGTAAACAACTCCCAGCATTAAATTACTATTTGTTTACATGTTTAGTTTCTTAGCGTAGGTTAGACCGAAATACCGCATCCGTTCTGTGTATTCATACTATTGTGTTCGAGGTCCTTATCCGAAGACTGACGGAAAGGGCCGAGTAGTTGCGATTGCAGCTCATAAACAAATGGCCACCACACTAAGCTTAATAAAATCTGATTGGCTAATTGAGTAATTGAGTGCAAGCGTTTAAATTAGTCTAAAGCTTCAAACGAATTATTTATACAACAAAATTCCACGGGCTTGACCATCATAAACAATGTTAAACTGAAGGTTTCCCTGTCAGCTGGATATCCGAATGTGACATATCCGAAAACGTGCACGCTTCCCGCAATTAATTAATACTTACAACACACTCGGATTGCCTAAAATTGAAGGAAAGGCAAACATATTTTTGAGTAAATTATTACAGAAAAACTAGAAAATTACCTTCAATTTCTTCGTAAAATAAAATACTGTTGTTTATTCAAGGTCGCTTTTCTTGATAACTTTGTTTATAATATTGTGAGTCTATGTAGAATATGTTCTAAAATTTGACATGACTAGTTTCCGCGGAAAGGATTTGCTTTGCGATAAGAAAATAGATAAATATAGAATCCCTAAAGAAAGCCCAACACGGCAAAATTGAAAATGTTGCAGGCTCGGTTTGATTGAGCCTGTTCATGGACGGTACTGGAAAGTGCAAATTACCGTCCACGCCCCCTAGCACCGGCTTAAGCAGAATTCAACATTTTAACGTGAAATAGTAAAATTTTGAATTTAGAAACATCCGCAGATGTGTTCATACGGCGGTAATCATGGAACCTTCAATGTGACACTTCCGTGCCATTCCATGAAAAGCGGCGTATGGTCCCCAAGTAATAAAAAGCGTGTGCCCTAAACGAGAAAACAATGGGCGGAACTAAATAAAATGGAATTTTGAAAGGGGATCAGAGGTTATGAAGCCTGCGTATCACAGATAAGACGTCAAAAGACAAATTTAAAAAGCAGGCAACATATCCTTAGGGTGATTCAACATTATTCAAGTAGGAATATTGGAACCACCCATATAGAAAATGCCGAAAAGTTGAAACTAAAAATACCACAAGCACAACAATAATGTCGTGCTGAACGATCTTCAAGGATCGAAAATATAACATCATTGATTAAACCTCGCCGGGTCCAAGACAAATTTCCATGTAAGGTCTCAACCCGGTACGGAATTAGACCCAACCCGTTGCAGTCTAGAAGTAGTTCTTTAAAATTTTGAAGTGGCCCATTTAAGTCATCTCTAGTTAGATTGGTCATAATTAAAGTGTATTTATTGCATGTGTGTAGTTTTTGTGTGTTATATGATTAGTTTAAAAGTTGTTTTCAGGAACTCATTTGTTGGCGGAAGGATTAATGATGTACCACCCACCAGCAGTCAGGAGTTTTTAAAGTGGTAAATTTAAACTGTGTTACAACCACAGGAACTTGAAATTCTATCAAATAACCAATATTAATTATAATATCCAAATATACCCCCTATATACTATAAAAAAAAAGTGTTTTTATAGTATATACGGGGTATATTTCGCATATTATCGTTAATAGTGATAGAATTTCAAGTTCCTGTGTTACAACAGAATGAAGATTTCTAAAAAAAAGTAGATGGCTTACCTATTATATTTTGGGCCTCATTTGACTTAGATAAAGTTGAAGACAGTATATAATTCTTCAAGAACAGTGGAATCCAGAATAAAGCCTCAAATGTGACTGATTTACTATAGAACAAATACTACGAAAATTCACCAGGCCAACACCGTAAGGGTTTTAAAAGACGTCGAAATTCATAAAATGCTCAGTTTGATTTAAATCAGGTGGTTAATTGTGTATTGTCACAGCAATAAAAACAACAGTAAGACCAAATGACGATTATAAATGACTCATAGGTGGTTAATTGCAAAAAAAATATTTGACCGGGTGTTATCTATTGCACATGTGTTCAGCTCACGTTGTCTTGCCAATAATGGTTAATTAATCATAAAATAATTTCCCTTTGGTCACCAAGAACTAAATATGTAGTAAACGAGTGCTGGATAGTAATGTTGTCCTTGATGATCATGCTCTCCTGATGATAATTTAACTAATATTGACAAGATAATATGAAATTTAGGATATTATCAAAAACGTAGAAAAGGGTTTTGCTTAATGTTTGATAAATATCACCCTGGTTTTAGTTTTTCAGTGCGACTATTTTACTGAAATTATGATATTGCTTAAAGTTATACTATGCTCAAATTTGATATTGATATTGATAATTGCTACACAGTCGCTTTGTAAATATAAAATAAACATGTTTGACTTCACAGAAAAAAATTAAAATTCTACACACTACAGGTGGTCGCAATATGAATATATATAGTGTTATAAAAAGCTGGCAGATTTTTTAAAAGAAAAGATCAGCTTTACTTGACCTGTAATAGGGAACGCAGCTTTCCATACATAGTTTATTCATTCTTTTATTCAAGTTAGACATATTCAGAAAGAATTTCATGGATTTCAATGAAATATTTTACTTAAGGATGAGTATTGTATATATTTAATTTAATGCTAAGAATTGCGAATTCGATTATATAAAGCTGTTTAAGAACGTAAAAAATAAAATGTCTACAAAACCACATTATATAAGGTTATTATGTGATCAGGTTTGTGTTTTGTTCATGTTAATTATGAAAGGATTATAAAACTAGAAGGTCTTCGATGCTGCATGTACGAGTGGGAGATAGGAAGAGTTGCTGATGCATTTCCATAAAGAAAATTGTTATTTCTTTAGAATTTCTCAGAAAAGAAATATAAACTCCACAACCATAACTTAGAAAAAGTGAAAGTACAATACAAAAGCATAACTTAAATAGAAGGATCATAAGCTACTAAAATCAATGTCATCTCTCTTATTATAGATAATTGTGCTAATTGCTCCGCGCCCACCGGCGCGAAGCTATTTATGTTGACTATTTTTTTTTGTCCATGGACCCGATTTTTAACAATTAATCCCTTCGATTTACAGCAAAAAATAAATTCGGAATCAAGAACTCCTTTCGATTTCTATTATGTAAAGTCATATATTGGTTTCCCCTTCTGTGATTCGCAGCATGTCATATAAATAATAATAATAATAATAATAATAATAATAATAGTAATAATAAAAATTAAAATAATACCAATACTACTAATAATAATAATAATACCGACTTTGTTTAATTTGAATACTGTTTTGTATATTCAAAAGAAAATGCATTTAATATTCTAATCTCTAGCAAACCTACCAAAGTTCACGATGAACAATGTCTTTAAATTTGCCCTCCCATTCAGTCATTTATCTATGATATACATTTCTGGTAAAATCCAGTTAACCATTGAAAACTTAATAAGTATATCTTATCATCAGATGTCTATTAGTTTATCGTCATTTGCTGCATTTCTTTCTTGGGTGCCCTTTGATGTTTTGCATCAATTTTTTTCATGTTTAATATCATGATATACTATTTGCCGCGAAATATGCAAAGGACATTCTGAAAAGTAAAGTCCATGAAAGTTTTTGTTTTGGCTCATTTACATATCGATTTTTATCTTTCTTACCATGATTAGCTGTTGACATTTGTAGAAAATGAAATAGAGAAAAACAGAATCCCTAGATGTACATGCTTTGATATTTTTTAATCTTTTTATATTACTGACTACAGTAGTGACACAAACAGTACAATGTTGCACTACTGTCATGTAACATTACATTTACAAGTCCTGTAAGTCTTGTTTTTAGTCAATGGAATTACTTCCCTTACCTCAGGTAGGCATCAGTGAAAGCAATTTTTTAATTTGATATCTGGCTCCTCTCTCATGGATAGTGCATACGATTAGTATAATTACGCAAAAAAATGATTTACAAAACATCCGGAATAATGTACAATAGTACTTTATCTGAATAGAACATGACCTGTGCGCAGTAATAATTTGGTAAGGTATCTGTAATTAGCGCATTTGTTTTGCACGGAGCCTATCAATTGCTGCATTGCAGCAACATTTGTACTTGTAGTATTGTTAATGACTGTAATATGAAGATTAAAAATAATGTGGTAAAATTTATATAATATATAGCTGCCATTTGGCGGTGCATAGAGAAAACTGGAAAGCACCAAATAGCATCGAAAAACCGGAAAGCACTTAAATTTCTCATAAGAACACATGAAAACTTTATTTTATTGGTTTGGAAGTGTTTCCAATCGATTTATTAGATCAAAATCATATAAACAAAAATTTTTTTATAAATATTTTATGATTATTGATTGTTATTACGAGTATTTAGGAAAATAAATACCTCGAGTGCTTTCCCATTCCTGCTAAGATACATAATCAGACAAGCCACACAAACACTAACATTTAGTAATTTAATTTAATTGCAAACGTTTCGGCTATATGCCTTCATCAGTGCAAAACATAATAAAATTACCGGAAGCGACGTCATAACGGAACACGCGTTAAACGCGCGAAAAACGTTATGGCGTTTAGCGGCAAAACTATGATAACATGTAGAAACAAATATTTATGCCATAAATAAAGCTGGTACATGAATTAAAATGGATCAACAGTGATACAGATGTCTATTAGACAGTGTTAATAAAAATAAGATAATAGACAAACATATTAATATTCATGTAACCTATTATAAATCAAACAATACTTTATTATTTAGTCCATTTGGAATCATAGTATTTAATTTATGGATTCCAAAAAGATTCTTTACATAACCGGTCCATGTTGTTGTCTATAATGTCTATAGGTAAAAATGAAAAATCTGACAATGAACACTTATTATCGTTTGATCCGAAAATGGATCGCAAACATGTGAAATTGGATTAACGTCACAATTTCTTATATCAAATCTATGTTTATTCATTCTGCATGATACATTTTGATTAGTCTGACCTACGTATTGCTTTTTACAGCCTTTACATGTAATGAGGTAAATTACATTACGCGTAGTACAATTAACATCATTGTGTAAATCAAAAGAACTACCTGTTATGCTGCTATTAAATTGGGAACCAACAATTATATTGTTACAATGTGAACATCTACTTCGTAAACATTTGCTAGATAAAAATGTGCGATCAAGTAAAGCACTTCTCATAAAATAATCTCGAATGTTTTTAGGACGTCTATATGCTAAAATAGGTTTGAACTTGGTATGTATATTTTTAACGCTTTACCTTATCAGACAAAAGTAATAGATCCCAATATTTATTTAAGATTTCACCAATATTAGGCAGAGATGTATTAAAAACATACAGTAAAAGGTATTATTGAACTAGTATTTTTAACGACAGGACTTAGAGCATCATTTTGGGACATGCCTTCAATTTTAGAAAACGCTTTCTCAATAATAGATTTAGGATAATTTCTATCAGAAAAATATCTATTTAACGTATCTAAAGACTGCTTAAAAGTACCGTCATCGGAAATGACACGTCTATAACGTTTAGCTTGACTAAACGGGATACCACGCTTACATGATAAAGGATGAGAGGATGTAAAATCTAAATACAAATGCATATTTGTAGGTTTTGCAAAATATATCGGTAACAATTTTTCCTGTTACGCTCTTTAGATACAGAAACATCAAGAAAAGGTACCGAACTTTTTAGAAATATTGTAAGTGAATTTAATATTCGGGTGGAAACTATTTAAGGAATCTATAAAAAAGTTTAGCGTTTCCAAAGAATCATTCCAAATCATAAAAATATCATCTAGGAAACGTAACCAGACATCAGGTTTTACATAAGTAGAGTTAAGAAATTGCTCTTCTAGTCTACCCATGAATAATGAAGCATAAGAAGGTGCCATAGGGCTTCCCATTGCTGTGCCCATGGTTTGTAAATAACTCTGATCGTTAAAGTCAAAGCAATTATTATGTAAAACAATATTTTAACAATTTTCTTATATCATTATCTTTGATATAATTATTTCCATTATCTTTCTGTAAAAAAATATATACAAGATTCAATACCTTCATTATGAGGGATATTTGAGTGTAATGAAAGAACATCAAGGGTAACTAGATAGGTGTTTAATTTAAGATTTTGAATCTTTGTTATAAAGTCGGTGGTACTCTTGATATAGGAAGGCAAACTTTGCATGTAAGGATTTAAAATAAAGTCTAGGTATTTCGCTAAGTTCTCAGTACTTTAGCTACATGCTGAAACAATGGGACGACCAGGGTATCCAAGAGGAAGTTTCTCATCATATGATTTATGCGTTTTTTTCGGTAAAATGTAAAATTGAGGTGTTTTTTTTTTTTTTTTTTTTTTTTTTTTTTTTTTTTTTTTTTTTTTTTTTTTTTTGCTAAGATACATGTAATTTCCGAATAGAAATATAGTTTCTCAAAGTAATACATAAAACCTTTGTTTAATTGATATAAAAGTGTTTCCAATCGATTTATTAAGTCAAAATCTTTGAAAAAACATGTTTTGTAGGAAGAATTCGACCTGTACAGTACCCGGCCCCATTTTTTTTATTATTTATTTTGCTTTAAAATATTAATACTTATCAAGAAATGAAATAAAAATTAACAACAAAAGTTTAACGATGATATCTTTTATTATTTATTTAATACAAAAAATATCAATATTAACAAACAAGCAACACATGCATAGTTTACTGTTTTTACCGTCGCGAAAATAAGGTGACGTCTATCTTCAACCTTAACCTCTCTACGATAGAAGTATTAAGAAAAGAACTAAACTTATTTATTGACATATCATGGAAAAGAAACCTTAATCTGTTCAAATCATTTCTATGTTACTGTATGTAAAAAAAGAAAAAAAAAAGAAATGACCAAAGTAAACTAAATAATTAAGTGTTTTCATTAACACAATAAAAACATTCAGATGAACTGAAAAAAGATTGTTGGAAACTTAATGTATACAAACCTTTTAACTCGAATTTCTATGCATTTCTTCCTAATTATCGCATTAACACTCACGAAACCATCTTTAATTTACATCGAATAAAGACATGAAAGATACTACCAACTTATTTAAAGGAATTGTTTTCACAGCTATACCTTTTATGTTAATTGATTGCTTTAATATGTTTGAATATCACATCTGAAATAATGTTGATGTACATATAATTGTTGATGTTATATAATTATTCATTATCACTATTGCGTATTAAAGTCTTAATCAGCGCAATTAAATTTACCTACATTTTATGCCAGTTCATGTTGTTTTTTTTTACTATTGTTCTATAGTTAATAATATTCAATTTATAATAATTCAGTTTTATTCCATCATACAACAAAATAACATAAATAGTTTTCTTTAAAAAAAATATATTTTGGGGCCGGAATGACCGATTTTGGGGCCGCACTGACCAATTTTGGGGCCGCATTGACCAAATAAAAATACTGTGGGGCCGGATTGACCAATTTTAGGGCCGGGTTGACCAATTTTGAGGCCGGTTTGACTTGGGGCCGGGTTAACTTGGGGCCGGGTTGACTGTAATTCCTGTCACATTATATGAAAATATTTAGTGGTATTCTGCCAAAATAAAAAATAGACCCATTAGACCTATAATTAGTCGGTTCGGTTTACTAAAATGATTTTTAAAAAAATCAAACGTATTCAAAATGGAAACTGACGACCAAAACAATTCTGACAGACTTATAAAAATACTATCTGAAGTTGGAGATAGAGTGGAAAATCTTCGTGACCAGGCCTCATCTATTGAAAGAGAAAGGGAGAATATTTTAGGGTTACTTCAGGACATACAAGATTTGGAGAATCACAAAGATTTGTCCGAAGGCAAGATGAAATTCAAATTATTTCAATATTTGATGAAAACTGCGCGTCATCTCGGCCTAAAGTCAATCCGGGCCCAGGTCAACCCAGTCCCAAATTAGTCAATCCGACGCAAAGACACCCAGGCTCTGGTCTTCCCTTTCCCATTTGGAAGTGTGTAGCCGTACGATTTCGAGACGTTTCGGCCCCAAGACGTATCAATCTCTACGCAGTGATCTCCCCTTACAGCAGGATTACAATTCTGCCAAGGGAAGTAATCAGTGTGAGGAGTTTGAAGACGTATCGGCCCTAAAATGGCTAAATTACCCAAGACGTTTCGGCCCCAGACGTTTCGGCCCTTTACCAAATCGGCCCCAGAATAAGTATTGTGTTTTAAACCGGTATATTAAAATTTCATATTTATAATAATCATAAATGACAATTTTCATGAAGTGGAACGCCAATTTCCAAGTAGCCCGGGGTTCTATGATATCACGGTACTTAACGTTTATCGGAAAATATTTAAATATAAATATCATAAATGAATGAGATTTTTTTTCTATTTTATAATTGAACAATTTCCAGAACTGTTTGTCAAAAAATTATTTCAAAAGAACCAATAAAAATGACATTTTTTAGAATATTTTCAATGTCTGCCATTTTGGGAAATTTCAGAGGAGGTTACTACGGTATCAAGGTAATCCCCAAAAAAGCAAGTATGGAAGGATAGATGGGTCAAAACTTTCAAGTTAAGTTGTGAAAAACTTCCAACAGCTAACTTGCTATAAAATTAAAACTATATGAACAGACTATATGTCAGTATATGTGTTTATAACATATTTTAATTGACTGTGTAAAAACCATTAAGGAAAATGGTAGTCAAATATGAAGGTTTTATAAAATAGTTTTCTTGCCACAAATACATTCATTATTCACCAAATTAAATTCATTGGCAGGTGAAAATGAATCTAGTGTGCAAGTTTTACAAATATTAGCATCATCAGGTGTTGCTTTTACTAGCAGTCACAGAAAATTTAAATGCCGTGATATCATAGAACCCTTGATATCATAGGAACCGAGTATACCTTGAAAGATTTACGATAGGTCTTATATATATTACGTAAAAGGTTAAATCTTTACCAAAACCATCAACGATAAGATACTTGTTGCATTTAATGTTAACTTCAATGTTTATGTATATCTCATAATAAATAGCTACTCGTAATTATTTCCTTGATATTGAAAAATCTAACACATTTAATTATCAGGTAAGGAAAGTTAGTTGTTCATTAGGGATGGGTACCACCAATTTTTTTGTACCGCGGTATATCGCGGTATTTCACCTGTGTACCGCGGTATGTACCACGGTATTATGAAGACACTTTTTAATGTTTAACTTATGCAAACTAAGACCAACTGCCATAAGAATGTTTAAACATTTTGATAAAACACAATACATTTTAGAAAAACAGATTAATATCTTTATTTCTTTCAACTAACATCTGTCTACCTGACTGGAAAATAATAAATAAAAGAAAGAAGAAAATAACCTTATTGTCTTGATAATATTTTCAACAAAATCTAAAACAGAAAAATGGCATTTTTGACCGTGGTGAATTCGTCCATGACGGTATGAGCTGTTTACAAGTTGGGCTATGTCTAAATGCTTTACGTTTTGTTATTGTCGCCACTCGTCAATACGTCAACATGTTTACTAGCCTTAGACTGAGCACTAACATGGGTGTCCCCTTTTAATGCATTTAAATGAAGAATGATATATAGAAATTATAAAAATGTCGGCGGATGAAATGTATTTACACTACATAATAAATATGAAAAACAACCGGGAAACGATCCGACCTTTCCGCGACTAATTATTCGTTAGAGTATTATACTGTGCATTTACTGCTGCTCTAAAAATAGACTTGGAATTCCACTTTAATTTAGGTTGAAAGTTGAAACACAGATTACAGGGTAAATAACGTCCGAATCTTACAAAAATATTATGTAAAATTATATATATTAAAAAACCGGTATTCCTAGGGGTCGCACCGGTACGTACCGCGTCTGAACGAAACCGCGGTATACCGGTATACCGGTAATACCGCACATCCCTATTGTTCATGCACGTGAAAATCGAAATATCCGGTCATGTAATTTTACAATGAAAAGAAAACAGAAGCCATAATATCTATAATTCTTTTGCCACTGTCAACATTGTTTGATTAACTAATTAATAAATATATAGCAGGTACATTTATGATTTGGTTTCAGTCTTTTAATCACTTTTATAACATCTAGCATCTATCATTATCTAATAACAATAATAATTAAAAAAATTATCAGGAGATTATAGCAAACCGTTTTTTTTTAATTTTTTGAAGTTTTCTCTGATATTACTTACATAAAGTCAGGGCACTCGTTTGGCCATTTTTGGGGCCGAATATCGGCCCCATTCCCCTCTCAAAATCATATGTTTTTTTCCCCTATTTCAGTAAAAAATTCCCCTAAAAAAATTGTAGTGTTAATGTTTGATATTTAAGAAAAAGTTGATGTTTTGATTTCATAAAAATAAAATATATTTCTGTTCAACTTTCAATGGATTGAAAACTAAAATACAGTTGTCAACAACGCTGTATGTTAAAACCGAAAGTAGCAGGAAGTGAGAAATGTACAGAAGGGAGATAACTCCCGTAAAATTATTGACAAAATTAATGTGGCAGATTATCATCGTAGGAGTTTACCTTATATTTAATTTGTTTAGAGAATAGACATACATTGTCATACTTCTGCTAGAAAATAAACAAAACTGTTTTAATTTCTGTCAGTTGTTGTAGGAAAAAACGTATTTCTCTTGCAGTTTTGTACTCAAATATTTTCGTACCAAATATTTTTGTACCCAGTTTTACAGTTACATACAATTTCCTCTGAAACCAATACCTTTCTTAGAAAAGGCATAAAACTTTCTTGTTTATCTTTATTTAATTCTTATTTCAATTCTCATTGTTATAATTGTTTCAATCTAAAGAACAGGCAGTAATATGTAGAAAATAGATTAAGAACTGACCAGTGCAGATTGCAAAATAGTGTGATACATTTTTAACATTAAAAATAAAGAAAACATTAATGACTATAATAGGAAATAATTTTGCTGTGTTTCCATAACTTGGGTACAACATACCCTTGCCTAGGAAAGTCTGCCTTTCCAGAGCTTGTTGCACTGAATCAATATTTTTTGTACAATTTTTTTAAAAAAAAAACAACAACAACAAAAGCAACTGTCAGTTTTAATTTTTTCATAAAAAAATGCATTATGCTTGTTATAGATTTTAATTTAACCCTTACATTTTTCAGAATTTGCATTTTACCCCTCACTCTAGAATTTGAGGGGTATAAAACCCTTGGCCAAAAACATATATCTGGAGCTCTGATTGATGTCTGAGTCAGTCAAGTGCAATAAGAAAACAATAAAGAAAACAGTGAGATAGCCTACTTCAAGAACAACTTCATGTTATATGTTTTATTTGTAAGGTCTATAGTAATAAATATACTAGCTATTGTAAGTAATGGTAGGAAATAGTGCCAAGAAGTAGTGTAAAACCTAAATTTAAAGAACTCATACTAGTGTATGACTTAAAATTCCCCCTTTTGTCTTAAAATGATGCAAAATTCCCCTTCCTGAGGGTATGGGTACCTGTCCCCAAAAGTTGTCTAGTGCCCTGTAAAGCTATAGACAGTTAACTAGTTACACCTTGAAAAAAATACGTAGGCCTATAGTTTAATTAAGATAAAAAAATAATGTTTTCTAAGGAATAATTGTAATTAACTTTCTTAATCAAGAAGTTTTAGTGGTCTGTTTTATAAATTAAGGATAAACCTGCCTTTATTGTTTGTTACACCTTTGAAAACATTAACGTATATCTAAATGGTTCAAGAGATCAAAAGATAATAAATAATTATTTAAAGAATTAAAGGGTCATAATTGTTTAATTTCAATTAAATCAATTGTTGTTAATTAATTTAATTAATTGTCTGTACTATATAGTAGGGCCGAAACGTCTCGCGGAAAAGGGCCGAAACGTCCAGGGGCCGATTTTTCTACTGGGGCCGATTTGGTTTGGGGCCGAAACGTCCTGTTTGCAGTCGTACGTACCAGTTATGCTAGCCAAAAATGAATACCAGACGTTTCACTCCCAAGACATTTATGATTTCACTGTTGAGACGTTTCACTCCCAAGACAATTCACTCCCACTTTGTCAATGGACGTTTCACTCCCATTTTTTAGATGTTTATAAGGGAAATTCAATTCAATGTTTTATTTTGTTGATTTTGAAGGTATAATTTGTTAATAAGAATTTATGAATGTTAACACAAGATTCTTTTTTATCAGTTAGCTGGTTTTTGTGGTCCCCAACTAGACTTAAGGCTACTATCAAACACATAGTAGTTTGGGTGTTTTTGAAATAAATGTTATCCAAAGATGAATTTCACCACATGCTCATACAATTATTTGGAACTAGATAATTAATACAGGTCTTGTGTGACAAGAAAAACATCTAAATGAAGTACATTTTTGTATTAACTATTTGCAATGTTAATGTTGCTGAAATTTTAAACCATTGCTATGTTTTATTTTGTAAATATTGACTTAAATTAAAACACACTAGTTGCAAGTAGATCAAAAAGAGACAAAAAAGATGAACACATCTTTGTAGACCGGTTTAAAAACTGACATTTGTATAGTAAGTTCTACCTGCTAACGGGTGTGCTAAGGGGTGTTATATATCTGTGTCAAGTGAAACATAACAACCGTTAGATACAGCTATCTCATGGAAACTGCAAATTTTACTTCTATGCATATTTAAATTAATAACTGTAAACAAAAATGTTGATGTTTTTAGACCTGTTTTATTTGGGAGAGTAGCTTTAACATATAAGCACATTGTGCAATAAGTATTTCAATCATGAGAAATTAATAGTTGCAAAAAATGCAAAATATTATTCTATTAATAAATCAGAAAAGATCCATAACTGCACAAAGACATTTACCGATTTGCCAAACTGACTAATGTAATTTCAGTACTTATGGCTTACTTTTGTTTCTAGAGACAACTTGTCTGCAATGATTGTATTTCTCTCTTTTTATCAAAACTTGTTTTTATAAGAATGTGTAACTTGCAATATAAAGTATATTATGAATTGTATATTATAAATGATGTTTTTTCTCTATTTCAGTTGAAAAGGAAGATATTGAATCAACTACAGAGAGATTGATTCTTCGATGTTTAACGGTGGAAGTTTCCGTATCAACACCTAGAAATGAAATCCAGGAAGAAGCCTTTAAGTCAGTGACACAGACTTTGGATGAATTACATCAAATGTTTCAGCTAGATCCACTGAATCATTCTTACACCATAGAGTCTTATTTAAATGCTTGTTTACCTGAACCTTTTAGTTCAAATTTAGACACTAGGTTCCAGTCTAAAATATTAGGCTGTACTGCGGACGATCAGAAACGTTTCCGACAGAAACTGCAGAGTATGCACAGACTGGCTCTCAAGATGCCATATTGTAATGGGACCGAAGAGAATAAAATGGAAGCAAGTAGTGTAAATGAGACACAAGTAGATAGAAAAGAATGTAATTCTGGTGAAACCAGTCAGCATGATGAGCAGGAAGTAGAAACATGACCAATGTTTGTCCAGGCTTTAGTTAATTTACCAATTAAGGATGTCAAGAAAATGAAGTTGCCAACTGACCTCTGATTTTTACAAGTTTTAAAGCTGACACTTGACATCTTATTTTTGATAATTTTAAGAGTTGTAAAATTTTGTTATATATGTATCACACATTAAGTTGACAAGTGGTGAAATCATAACATTTACTCTCATGTATAAATAAGATATTTGAGTCAGTATCTTTGTAACTTTGCTTAAAATACATGTATGTGGATCAGAAGATGTACTGCTATAAAAGGGTTGTTCTTCATAATCTTTGGCACCTGTCATGTGTTGATTTTATATTTACATTAACAAGGTTTACATCTTCCAATTAAATTGTTACCTTTCACCTTTATTCATGATTTTTTGCCTGTTTTATTTTTATCTGCTACCTATATTTACCCATCTAAAATGTGTTCTTCAACATCCACCGTAATATAATATTCAGATTCATCATAGGGAAGCAGTAATGTCTGGGAGTAATGATTGATTTGATTTATACACCTTTAAAATTGATGATACTAAATGAATATCTTATAATGATTATATAATATATCATATACATGATTTAACCCTTAGTACCTCTGCTGAATATCTTCAATGGACATGTTCATCTTTTATCCTGACAATTACAGGGAAAATTACTTAGTAAGTACACACTGAATGGGGGATAGTACAAATCATGATTTAGTTTTTATGTGTTTTATTGTGGAATATTGCTTGGTTTGCAATTGACTTCCACACAGTAAATTAATAAAATCATAATGCTTGAATAATTCATTTTCAAAACATCATAAACAAGTAATAAATATTAGTTTCCTACCGTGTTGAAAATCAAATGTTGTTATAAATAAAAAAAAGTAATTAAAAAAAACTTTAGAAAACTGTATAATTAGTTAATTTTTGTATGTTTAATTGTGGAATATTGCATGGTTTGCAATTGACTTCCACACAGTTATAAAATCATAATGCTTGAATGATTCATTTCAAAACATTATATACAAGTAATCATGCAATATTAAACACTAATACACAGGAAATATAAATTTAATTCCATTCATTACATGCACAGTGAGAGAGGGAATCAATGGAGATATCTAGGTACATGCAGTGTTGAAGTAATTAGCTTTATGTAAGTTAGTGTATTGAAGTGAAAATTGCTATGTAAATATTCCCTGTCTTTGTTAAATCAAAATGTTTTAAAGCAACTTTTGTATGCACTCATTGTTGATTTATAATTGAATTATCTAAGAAAAGCTTTAACACTGTATAAAAATATCTGCATATTTTTGTTTTATTTACGAAGGTTAACACTCCAGATCAAAAGATCATTGTCTGTTATCACTAGCTAATTGACAATCTGCAGACATCTTAAACCATTTTCATCCTATAATCTAGAGCATCCTCTCTGGGATACAGCTTTACTATTGATAACAGCTTTATTTTGAGGAAATAAACAGTAACAGATTTTAACAGATATACTATGCTCATCCTCTAGTAAAATATTTAAATCACAGAGATTTATTGAAAATCTATAAAACTCTTACTGAATATGTCAAATTTGAATGAAAGAAAGAATAAATGTATGGGAAGCTGCATTCCCTATTACAGGTCTGCCAGTTCTTTTAATGACACTATATATTCATATTGTGATTATCATTGTGTGTAGAATTTTAAATATTAAATATCTACTTTGTGTGAAGTCAAAACATATTTATTTCATATTTACAAAGAGACTGTAGTTATTATCAAATTTTCTTTTATCAAATTTGACCATTGTATATCTTTAACCTTGTGTAAGGTCTACAAGGCTTATTGTGTTGATATATAGAACAAATTGTCATGTTTTCTGTTCAATGAAATGTTCAATTATATTATTATATAGATCTTAACCCTTACCACACTAGATATCTTAAATAAAGCTGTCCATCTTTCAATGTAGACATAGCCAAATCATTCCTTGGGCAAAATTATCAAATACGAGTACTGACCAAACAGCAAACAGATAGACGTCCATGATCAGACGGCGTGGATGTGGCGGCTAATTTTTGTCTGCACTGGTAGCGTGGACAGTTACAGCTAGTAAACTTAGGGTTCATTACTCTTCATGATTATTTCAATATTGTTATTGTAATGATTACTTCAGGGTTGTATATGTTTTAAAAATTTTACTGGTTCAAGTGAAATGTGCTCAATCTTGTTATCCTTTACATTGCATAATTTCCTTGTTTAATAAATTCTAAAATTCTGATAATGTATTTTTTTCTTTTCTCCATTCTGTCATACATGTATTATATATGCATTCATATAAACTCTGGCCCTACCTTGACTGGGATTTCAGTATCGAAATACAAAACTAGAGCACTACATATAGAGTTAATGCTTGTCTGTTGTAAGATCAATGCCTATCAATAACTAATTGTTTCAAATATTCCCAGGTTAAAAGGGGACAGGACTCCTTAAATATTGCTTTCGGGATGATGCCCCTTTGTCTTGTCATGATAAGCAAGTATTTCAAGTTTTGTGTCGATACACTTTGACATGTTTGAGTAATTGGGTATAATTAAAGTTTTACACGACAATGACAACAACAAAGTTATCATAATAGCACAAACAGACAAACTAAAAATGATCTACTGACAGAATAGAGCCTGGTCAGAACATTGATGGAAAGGATTTAAAACAAACGTTTTTCAGTGTTTTATGAATGTGTGTTCAACAATTAATAATATGTTTGTCAAATGTTTGGCAGAGCTAGAAATGATAACTTATTTCATACATTATCTCTGATGAAAGCGAAGTAAACATGCAGCTTCTGTAGGTAGCAGAACAAACTCCTAGGTGTAATTAAAAGTCAGGCTACCACAAGCAATAGAATGTCACCTGGCTACCAATTTACTTCCCATTATGTCCCTAGTTAAGATATTACATTGAACTTCAATCTGATTAAGATGTAAATACCACACTGCTAAAATAGGCTAAGCAAATCTATTTAATCTGAAGTCTTTTTGAAAAATTGTATAATGTATCATCAACATATCAGACAGATATCAACAACTGTTAATTACCTTCAATTATGATCCAATAGACATGTGCTAAAGGAATACATTTAGTTACTGTATAGATTTATTTTGTCTAGAGTTCCTTGCACTAGCTTTCCATAGTAAACCAGACTAAGGCATCCTTTAACAAGATCACAATTAAAGGACTGAAATTGAGTCAAAATCCATGCTAGAGTTATAGGCCATGGATAGTGACTTCCAATTATATTATTAGTTATAAAGATTGCTGACAGGTTATATGGCCCTATATAAACGGCTGTTTGTAAATATAGCCCAAGATGCTAGGTGAGGGTTATATTGCAAACAGCTGTTTATATATGGTCATATAACCTGTAAGCAATCTTTATAACAAATTTATAATACTGCAAACTTCTTTTTCTTTAGAGAAAAGTGAAATTTCTTCATGAATTCAGAGCAGCCGTGTATATAAAACTTATTATTTAAACGTCACGATTATCCAATGAAAAGCGACGTTACAAACGTGCAGTATTATAAGATGTCAGACATGTGAAGTGGAAAGCAATTACATGTACCTCAAGTGATTGATAACATAAGAAGTTAGACACATTGATAACATAAGAAGTTAGACACAAAACTTTGACTAAGTGGGCTATGCACTATAATAGAGTAGAATATTATAGGATATTTGAGCAAGAATTCTGGAGTATTGTAAACAGATATTGACTGGTCAACTTACAAGTGCAATAACTTGATCTCAAGACACAGCTTTCAAACTCAAACATCTTAATCCACTTGTGTACAGACTTTACATCATAAAACACTGGTGCACAGTCTGGCATGACTCTGTAATGGTGCAGTAGACATGATAATAACCCTATTTTCCATTCAAAAAAAATTAATATAGGGTTGACAGTTAAAATAAAAACAACAGTTCTATTTTGTTTGTCATTTTTTTTATGTTTCAATAATATTTGATATGCCTTCACATAAATAATTAAACAAACAATTAAAAAGTCTCAGTCAGCAGTTTACAGGTAAAATACACAACAAAATATAACATATAAAAAATGCATAATTACACAATGTCAGCAGTGGTAGACTCAATACTACTTCGCTGAAGTTCAATGTCATTGTTTATAATGTTATATGTTATGCTAACTATAAAGATATTAAAGCATTTTTGACAAAAAGTTGTTTTTCTAGTTTTTTTTATATATTATACATTTTTGAAGTTGTATAATGATATTCAACTTGGGTCATCTCTTGATATTAACTCTTAACAGTCGGGCATACTTCCTGATCGGGAAACAAGGGGATTCCCCTTCAAGGCTTCCCGATCAGGCAGTAAACGTCAAAATCCTTCCCGATCGGGAAGTTTTTTGGCCTATTTTTACGTAGTTCAGGAAAAATGGCCGCTGCATAATAGTTTTCAACCCACTTCAATATGAACATCACATTTAAGTGCAGAAAAGATACATCTAAAATCCTACCGAGTCATTTTCTTTTAAAATGCCTAAAACTAAAATTATCTGAAAGTGAATTTGAGTGAAGTTTTAAGATTTTACTAAGAAGTAGCGGCTTCCCGTTTTGGAAACACTGTTTCCTGATCAGGCATCTAGCATAATATTCACCATTAAATGTTTTCCGTTTGGGAAGTTTTCTTCTTTAAGTTAGCGCGTTCTATTCTGGAATTATTGCTTGGGACAACACCAACAAATAAAGTTACCTGTGCAACAAATCAACATGTGAGTCATGGTGTGAATGTTTTGAAGTCTGAAGTGTCTAGCAGTTTAGATACAAATGATAGCATCATAGGTGGTGTCTTCTTAAATTTTGTAAAAATGAAAATTTGAATATATTCGAATATGGAAAAACGAATATTCGAACATCAATGTAAGTTCTTATTCGTTCCCGGCCCTAGTTATTTTTATTATGCCCCACTTCGAAGAAGAGCGGGTATATTGATTTGCTAATGTCCACACAATATCTGTATGGCTATAAATTGCATGTATACAATTTTATGTTGAAAAAAAAAAATGTTATGTTATGTTAATGTTGGTCGGCCAGTCCATTGGTAGACCTCAGTTATTATCTTAAAAACTATTAATCACAGAGTCTTCATATTTTACATACTATTGGTCATAACTATAGTAGATGAAACCTATTGATTTCAGGGTCACTTTGTCAAAGGTCAAGGTCACAGGGACCCTAAATGTCAGAATGGTTTCCGCTCATTATCTTGATAACTATTTCTCACAAAGTCTTAATATTTCCAAATTAATTAGTCATATGTAGTAGATGACACCTATGATTTTGTGGTCACTAGTTCAAAGGTCAAGGTCACAGGGGCCTTAAATGTCGAAATTGGTTTAAGCTCATTATCTTTAAAACTATCTATCACTAAGTCATTATATTTCACATATTAATTGGTCGTAAGTAGTAGATGACCCTATCAATTTTTGGGTCTTTAGGTCAATGGTCAAGGTCACAGGGACCTTAAGTATGTTTGTTTATCCGTCGTTAGACCACATTGTTTCTGCTGATTATCTTAAAAGCTATTTATCAAAAAGGCTTTATATTTCATATATTGATTGGTCATAACTATTAGATAACATACATTGATTTTGGGGTAACTAGCTTAAAGGTCAAGGTTGCAGGTGTTTTAAATTTCGGAATCGTTTCCGCTCATTATCTTGAAAACTATTTATTAGAAAGTCTTTATATTTCACATATTGATTGGTCATAACTAGAAGATGACCCTTTTTGATTTTGGAGTCACTAGGTCAAAGGTCAAGGTCACAGTGACTTGAATGTCAAAATAGTATCCGCATAATATCTTGAAAAGTATTTTTCACAAAGTTTTCCTATTTCATGTGTTGATAAGTCATATGTGGTAAATGACCCTTATTGATTTGGGGTCACCAGTTTAAAGGTAACAAGGACGTTAAATGTCAGAATGGTTTGCGTTCATTATTTTGAAAACTATTAACCATTATTTGAGAACTATTTATCACTAAACCTTTTATATTCCACTTATTGATTGGTTATAATTAGTAGATGACCCCTGACGATTTTGAGGTCTTTAGGTCAAAGGGCACAAGGACGTTAAATGTCAGAATGGTTTCTACTCATTATCTTCAAAACTACCCGTTATCAAGTTTTTGTGTTTCACATTTTAATTGTTCATAACTAGTAGAGGGCCCCTGTTAATTTTGAGGTCACTAGGTCAGAGGACAAGGTTACAATAACCTTGAATGTTCAAAGTAGATGCTCATAGTTACATTTACATGATAGTATATAATCTATTCCAGCTATTCTCCATTTTGTTTAACTTACTAATGATAGATTTCATTCAATTTCAGCTAGAAAGGGGGGGGGACATATATGTCATTATGATATTTCTTGTTTTATTTATTTATTTTATCTTATATCTTATTCATTTTTTAAAATTAATGTGGCTTAAAGGGTATGTTCTATATCTTACGAAATATTTAAATATTTATTAACAGCAAAATTATGCTGGTTCCATTATTATATGGTTGACTCCTGAAAAAGTAATGTAACATAGAATATCACTGTTATTAAATACAAATGAATCTTGTAAGTAAACAGGAACACAATACTGTTTTGCTATATTAGCCATTCGCGTTTAAGGCAATAAATTACCATATTTATTTCACACATTAATTTTGGAAGTATACTTTTTTAAAATTTTAACAATAATTTTTGCATCAGATATATAGCTTTATACACTTAAGTTTCAGAAATATGACACAGTCACTACAAACACATGTAGTATGCAAACACGTCTTGAGCTATAGCCAAAAAAAAAAATTATGTGAGCTCTAGTCAACATTTGAATTATTTGAGCTGCCTGGTAATTGTTTTGAGAAATAACACTCTATGCAATGTTGTTCAACATGTGCTTTACAATCTTAACAGTATGAAACTTTTGTATTGTAATGATGATTTTTGTACTGTCCGTCAAGTATAGCTAATGTTTTGATAGGTATTATTACGCCTAACAAGAACATAAGTTTCGCCAGATATATTCTACTCGTCGTGATTGAATTATGTGCCACATGTCTTTAAAAACTGACCAGGCTTGGCAATTTCTAATCATCAAGGCCAGGAACTACAACAAATATAAGGTACTTCCAGATTGGGAAGCAATGTATCTTAAACTTTTAATGATGAATATTTTGCTAGATGCCTGATCAGGAAGCAATGTTCCCAAAACGGGAAGTGGCTAGTTTTTGGTAAAATCTAAAAACTTTACTTAAGTTCACTTTCAGATTATTTTAATTGTAAACATTTAAAAAGAAAATGACTCGGTAGGATTTTAGATGTATCTTTTCTGAACTAAAATGTAATATTCATATTGAAGTGGATTGAAAATTGTTATGCACCGGCCATTTTTCTTAAACTACATAAAAAAGGCCTAAAAAACTTCCCGATCGGGAAAGATTTTGACGTTTGTTGCCTGATCGGGAAACCTTGAGGGGAAATCCCCTTGTTTCCCGATCAGGAAGTATGCCCGACTGCTTAACCAGTTGAATTTGTGAAATGGACTCTCCCAATTGGTGGCAAGCTGTAATGGTAGCTCATTATTGATTGGCTAATTGATTGATTGATTGAGAGTCCAATCAAAGTTAAAGGCACATTATGCCTCAGAAATGAACAAATATTTACTTCTTTAGAAAAGTCAGTAAGTTAAGATATATCTGTTGACCTGATATGAGCTTTCATTGCAGTTTGGCAATACTTTACATGTTGTCCTTAATATTAAAGCAAAAATATTCACTGGCCACAAAACCTTTGATTTTAAGACAGTTTTAAAGCTTTCTATAAATTGTAAGTTGAACCGAAATCTGTTTTCACAGAATATTAATATAGTACAATGTATTAAAATTGGAAGAAAGTTAAACACAGTCACATACAAACACACATTACCATAAAGTTTGTATTAAACACCCTCCATCTGTAGGCAGTTTTTTTTAATGGAGGAACATTCTAATTAGAGCTAATACTGAACAAAATCAAAACTTGTTTAAAAAATATTTTGAACCTTAAATATATTTATTTCTTGTTAACACAAATATAACACATATTCTAAGCACTGAAGTTTATTCTTAGGTGAAAAAGTTAAAAGATTTTTATATCATCTTTTGTATTTATATTTTAAATATATACATATAACAAAATTGTTTTATCGGACTGTAAGTATTTTTTTCAAATTCTCCAGGGAGGATGGGGGAAGGGTTTTTTTAATGGGGGAGGGGCATTTATTACAAACTTAATGGTACAAGACAAAAACAGCAAATAAATATGGAAAAATGTTGCTAACTTTACATGCTGACTGTGGATAATGTTATATTGCAGTGTTAATGGATATTAGAACATTTAAATCACAGATATTCTTTCTTACTAGCACAATAAAATAACATTCAATATGTCCAATGACATTCTTATCATAATTTAAGACTTTAAATAAAATTGACAAATAACAAAAATTGCTTCCCAATGTGGCCATTAGTCTTCATTATAAGAGAAGACGGTATCATTTGTTTAATTATAATACAATAATTTTTACTTTAATTAAAAATGTATACTTATTATCTGGTCTTAAAGCTGATCAAAAATGTCTATAGAAATCAAAAATATGAGCATAAAAGAAAAAATGCAATGTCATCTTATGTATAATTTAAACCTCCGTCTTATAGCTGGTCTGTGTTATAGACAAGTAAATAGTTATGGTAATTCATTTAATTCATAACACTGCTTATTTCTTTTTTTGCAGCTGAAAATTTAACATGAAAGCATATCAATCTAACTCTTTAACTTGTTGAACTTCAAAAATTCATTTGTCTAGATTCCATAACTGGTAAAGCCTGTTTTAAATGAGGGAATATCGAGATGATAATTTGAAATAGTAAAGTATACATGTAGTCTTGTATTGTAATCTTGATGCTGGCCTGGCATTATTTTATTGACAAAAGCGATCATTCATATTTGGTTCATTTAGCTTTATACAGGTAAACATTATTATGATATACATGTACTAAATGCTGAACTTGTACACTAATTTTGGCAAATAATTTACACATTGCAAACGTTTTTAACCTACAGATATACTAACAGGTCAAGATTGTGAACAAGAATTTGTTGGTATTCTTATATGACAGAATGTTGAATCATTTCCAGTTTCTTCTATAGTTTTCATTCTAATAAATCATTTTCCTAAACATAAGCTGTAATGTAAGATACTTTTTACTGGTTTCTTAATTAAAGTTTACAAATTAACACCTTTAATGATAATTAATACATCAATTAAATGATTAAACAGAAGAACAGGTTGTTTTATACAGGAAGCCTTTATTGGAGGTTGATGGAGTCACATTCCATTCCAGCACACAGAATACTTAACATATAATGTTTATGTACCCTTAGCAATGTACGAGTTTCCATAGCAACAACACAATGATTTTCCATGAATTTTTTCACAAATAAATGCTACAACACTGAACACTTTCCCATGACGAGGGATTTTTTCCCGTGTGTCCGTCTCTTGCTCGGCTGAAGGTGTATTGTACCCTCGTCATTGTGAGTTAATTTGAACTTGCCGTTTTTACCGTTTTTATGTTTTTCATGTTTCACTTTAATTTTGGGCGATGAATAATTATGATTTCTGTACGGATCTCTGTCTAGTGAATCTGTGTGATTAGTTACCTCCGCGTTGATGAAATCTGAAATATAATATAGTTTACATTAGTGATTTCTTTCCGTAATACATTGTAGTAGTAAATGATATTAAAGATGTTTTGGTAGTTTTCATATAGACATATAAGTTAATTAAGTTTTAATTTTGTCTATATGTCTATATATATAAACTCTCGAAAACTTCCTTAAGTAAAAGAGAAACTTATTTTGTTGGTTTTTTTTTTTTTTAATCTAGATCAACAGGAAGTATATGTATTTAAGTTTCAGTTTGATTGTAAAAGGGTGCATAAAATTATGAGAAAGAACTCAAAACGGTTGTGTATTGTATAAATGTGCTTAACATTTACAATAAAAGAGGTCTGACTTTAAGTCATACTAATAAAGTATTATTGAAAATTTACTGAAGGGGGGGGGGGGGTAAAAAGCAATATTCAAACCTAAAGCAGGAAACCTTTGTAGAACCACAGTCACTGTATAAGCCAGCTAGATGTAGTTCCTTATATAATTAAAGCAATCCACATCAAGACTTATTAGACTACGTCAAAACCTACAGCACATAAAAGTCAAGTAATTGGAATTCTATAGTTTATAACTAAATATTTCAAATAAAACCAAATAAAGAAGGAAATATTTACTTGATCCTATCTGATGATAGCTGATTGGTTCCTCTTCCTCCTCACAATTCAACTGGTGCACATATTTCTCAGCCAGGTACCGGAACACTAAAATTTTGAAATAAAGGGTCATAATATTGAGCTACTGGTGCACATATTTCTCAGCCAGGTACCGGAACACTAAAATTTTGAAATAAAGGGACATATTATATTGAGCTACCAGTAGTATAGAAGTGTAGAGCCTGGTCAGACTGCATGGTTTAGTTCTATACTGGTGACAAAGGCTAATTAACATTCAGTTATGACTGGTAAAAGGTTAGAAGCAATGGGAACTACCATAGTATTAGATACAGCAGACTTCATATAGTCAAATAATAGACAATGAATGTTGAAACATAGATCTGATCCATTCCCATTTATACCTTCCTTAATTAAGCAGTGTTCAATTTGCAGGAACCGCAAAATCGATTGTCCGTAACCCAAAGCCAGTACAAACATGTGGAAATTTTCAATAATTTACTATACAGACAAGATAAGAAATGCTTTAGATAAAAACAGACAAGTAAGTCAAAATCAGATTTTGTCAGCCCTGAATTATGTTAGAACCAATGAAAAGATTACCTCAAGCACAAGGCTAAATAAAGCTGTAGTAATGAACTTGGCATCCACTGTTTTTAGTACATGATCTTTTTCTCTAAATTTGGTGATAACTTGTAGCATACAAATCAAAAGGTGAACAAAGGAGGTAAGCTAGTGGTTCAGATGTCTGCCTTTTGACCCAGAGGTCATAGGTTTGAACTCTACAGAGGTCGATCAAAACTACTAGTTTTCTCCACCAGTAATAATGACTTCCAGGAAGCAGACTTGACAAAGGTTCAAATAATAAACTTCCATCCTTTATCATGATTAAATAGGTATTTTTAAATTATAAAGCTGGAAATTGAAGACTGTATAAATATCTCACCTTCCTCAACATTGAGGTTATCTTTTACTGACGTTCTGTAAAATCTCAGTCGTAACTTTTTGGCAAGTGCTTCCGCTTCCTCCCTAAAAAATAGAAAATCATATAGAACATGTCCTAAAATGGGAAGTGATACAGAACATGTCCTAAAATGGGAAGTGATACAGAACATGTCCTAAAATGGGAAGTGATACAGAACATGTCCTAAAATGGGAAGTGATACAGAACATGTCCTAAAATGGGAAGTGATACAGAACATGTCCTAAAATGGGAAGTGATACAGAACATGTCCTAAAATGGGAAGTGATACAGAACATGTCCTAAAATGGGAAGTGATACAGAACATGTCCTAAAATGGGAAGTGATACAGTACATGTCCTAAAATGGGAAGTGATACAGTACATGTCCTAAAATGGGAAGTGATACAGTATATGTCCTAAAATGGGAAGTGATACAGTACATGTCCTAAAATGGGAAGTGATACAATACATGTACTGAAATGGGAAGTGATACAGTACATGTCCTAAAATGGGAAGTGATACAGTACATGTCCTACAATGGGAAGTGATACAGTACATGTCCTAAAATGGGAAGTGATACAGTACATGTACTGAAATGGGAAGTGATACAGTACATGTCCTACAATTGGAAGTGATACAGTACATGTCCTAAAATGGGAAGTGATACAGTACATGTCCTGAAATGGGAAGTGATACAGTACATGTCCTACAATGGGAAGTGATACAGTACATGTCCTAAAATGGGAAGTGATACAGTACATGTCCTAAAATGGGAAGTGATACAGTACATGTCCTAAAATGGGAAGTGATACAGTACATGTCCTGAAATGGGAAGTGATACAGTACATGTCCTGAAATGGGAAGTGATACAGAAAATGTCCTAAAATGGGAAGTGATACAGTACATGTCCTAAAATGGGAAGTGATACAGTACATGTCCTTAAATGGGAAGTGATACAGTACATGTCCTTAAATGGGAAGTGATACAGTACATGTCCTAAAATGGGAAGTGATACAGTACATGTCCTGAAATTGGAAGTGATACAGTACATGTCCTAAAATGGGAAGTGATACAGTACATGTCCTAAAATGGGAAGTGATACAGAAAATGTCCAATTTAAAATTGTCTAAAATTCTTTTATAAAAATGACATGCAAAATTTACTGTACCACTAGCGTAAAATTTTAGTTAACTGAAAATAGCCATTAACTTTGAAATTTTCCCATGAATTCAGCTGTGACAAATAGTTTAAGTTTATAAAAAAAAACACACACAAACAAAATTATAATATAAATTTGAAACAGTCGTTGACTCAGAAAATGATGAAAGTGCACAGATAAATATCATAATCAAATGAACATAAAACGCACTGCCTAGATTTTGAAAATATTTAACGTAAAATCACAAAAGAAATAAACTCATCACGCGTAACATTAACGTCTTAAATCAAAAATCGGAATTATCATTGGATACTAATGATTGAGTCAATGACGCGGAAATAATAATATTGTTATTATCGTGATTTAATCAGCGAACAAAGTTGCGATTTATCCCGTCGTAATTTGCGATTCATCCAGTCGTAATTTCTAATATATACCTCCAAAGCTTAAGATCAAGTAAAAAAATAAAAATTTGATATATAAACATCAAAAAGAAGTTGCTAGATAAAATCATCAGCTTCTTGTCATAACCTGTTTACTTCACACATTACTTTCTGGAGATAGTTACGGTACTTTTCATTTTAACTAAAATAAGTGTAACATTTTTATAGGATTTCATAACACCAGAAAGATAAAATGTAATAAAAAAGGTGTTTATATCTGTCAGATTTTTTGATATCATAATATTTTATTTCAGAAGGTAATATCTTTAGGAAAATGGTAAAAAAGATGTCACTTTACTCAAAATGTCAGTTTTAATCCATTCTAAAATAGGCGATAACTCGATGAAAAGTTTTGAAAGAGAATTAGTTCAACAAGTATTGGCTAGAAGCTATTTCTTATGATAAGTATTCATGATTGAAACAAATTGATAAAAAAATAATTGAAAGAGAGTTTCATGCTCGATTAGGTCATTTTCAGGAGCAGATAACTCTAAGTCAAGCATTCCAATTAATACCATATTTAATTTCAATTTATTTTCATGTTATTTCATCTTTAGTCATTAATATGCACAGTTTAAAACAATCCTATCCAAAATATATTTTGTTATGCTTAAATGAGTAAACATACTATTTTTTTTTCAAAAAAAAAAGGGGGAATAACTTGAAGAAAATTTTCAAAAAAGGGGGAATAACTTACGGTTGAACTACAGCATCATCTATGAGATCAATCTTGTTCTGTACAATAACCATACTTATCTCCCCTACTTCATCTTCTACCTGAAGATACATAATTTAAAACATACCATAAAATTCCTATTAAACGCCCTCGGGGGTATAACATTTTCCAAAGGGGTGGCGTTTATTATAAGACACAGGTTTTCCAAAACCAAAAATTATTGTAAATATGTTTGGTGTTACACAAGTTTTCTTAATCATGTTAAAAAGTTTATATGATACTTTGTGTTTACTATAAAATAAAATGGATTCCGAAGGATTTGAATAAAATTATGAATTTACTCTTGAGTTCAGCACTGGTGAGTACATTAGAATTTTTGCTTATCAAATCCTTTAAATTTTCAAGCTTTTTTCTTTTTCCTTTTTTTATAATGAGTGTGGCGTCGCACCAACACAGTGTAAGTCATATGGCAACTTTCTAGCTTTACCTCGGGTCCACCTGAGTAGAACCCCCGACATTTCGTAACTAGCTGGTTAAATTTACAATAGAAAGTAGTTCTAAATCAATCAAATCAGTGGGCAAGTCCACGCTATACAAAGTCAGCAATAAAAAAGCACAAAGTTTATAATGGTGGAAGATGCCAGATGAACAGGAAATGTGTTTGTAAGCTTTCACAGCGTCAGTGATAATACTGGATATGTCTCTAGCTATTACCTTTCTTTTCCATGACTCTATTGCTTCAAAAGAATCTCTGTCTACGGTTGAAAATGCAAGTACACAAGCTTGAGCACCTGAAATAATACAAATAAATTACTTATAAATAAAACTTGCTTTATATACAGTTACACTGAACTGATCATAAACTGTACAGTTACTGTTATCTATATTATAATGAGTTCAAGTACTGCATGTTTGTGACATCATTATTCATTGGACAATAATGACATTTATATAAGGGGACAGACATCGAAAAATATTTTCAGTGTCACTGGTCCTGCAGGAAGAGAAGCTTCTAAATCCAATGTGCAGACAACATTTTTTACTTGTCCTGAATAAAGTTCTCTTAAATCCTACTCGTAATTATGGGGAACAAGTGGAATTTTCGATCTCTGGGAGAGCAGTGGCCTAGTGGTTATGGTTTCTGCCTCTCAACCCAGAGATCATGGGTTTGAGCCCTAAATCGGGTCACAAAAGTGTCTCTTCATATGACACCAGTACTATTAGTACTGGTTGGTTCCAGTAAGCAGACTCGTAAGTGACTAAAATATAAGTTGAAAATAAAGGCTGAAGGTCACTTTAAACCAATGTAGTAAGTCATGTTACCCAACAACTCCTCATAATTAAGACGTTACTCACAAACCATAACACGATTTTCACTTTTGTTTCAAAACTACTTTGAATATTTACAAAGATAACAAAGTGATTTAAAACAATTTCTTATCCACAGGCTAGTTAAAATATATTAGGACATTTCTTTTCACTCCTAGTTTACTTCAAGCATAAAGATTTTCTATTGTGATTTGAAAAAAAAACCCTCTTTAATGTCTTCATCTTGGATCAAATTTATGTTGGATTCATTTAATTTCTTAATAATATCATTAATTTGAATAAATTCCTCATCTAAACTGGGTATTTCAATAAAATAATTGAACGTGTTTTCAATACAGTTTAATTATACTGAGATAATGCTATCTTCCCGAAATCACACATAAATAAAATTTGTTTCGCAATCCACCTAGGAAATGAAAAAAACATTTTTTAACTATAAATCAGAGATAGGAATCATTAAATTGCTGTAATTATTATTACATTTGTAAAATGGAAACCATTCATATATAGTAAAACATGATTTAAATTGCCATATTTATATAAGCAAACATATAGATCATGTTTTATGTATTAATTTTAATTTTAAAGGTATTGACCTTTGTTAAGTGTCCTTGACCTTTAAAAGAGCATCACCATATCAGCACTTCCTCTTTGAATACAAGATGTACTTTGTCAGGCACTTTTAACTACTGACAAAGTAGTTATAAATACACTATTTTTACCTTATAAGCATTATTACACCAGCACATTATTAAGCAAAGAAGAAATGTTTCTGGTCTATAGCCCTCCAAAACAGAGACTTGTATATAGGTAGAAATCTATTTTATATACAAGTACACTAGTATATAATTTTTTTTTTTAAATAATTTTGTATAATATATGTCAAATCTATAAGTAAGATTTTAAAAAAGCAGTCAAAGGAAAACAATAAGTTGAGGGTTGACAGTTAAACATGAAGGTAGATTATTTTAGTGAGGCCTGAAACGGAACTACTTTTTTCCGGCCTGATGTTGTTTTTGGTTTGAACCTTGTACAAATTAAGCAATGATCTATAGGTTTCACTGACCAAGAATAAAATAGGACCAACAAGGATAATAACTATCATATCAAGAAAATGGGCGGGCTCTTTTAAAAGTTAAAATTTTCACTCATTTATCATGATCATTCATGTCAAGCAGAGTTCCTGGTATCCAATCAGTAATCAATCAATGATCGTTAAATTATTCCTTCACCTACCATAAAAATAATAAATCAATAATCTTAATGTAACGCTTTTCATAACCTGAAACCATCCATCATTGTATAAAAAACCTAACCACATGAGCGTAATAGTTGTGGTACCAGAACTTTTTTCAGAATTAAGTCATTTATTGACGAAGCCACATGAAGGAAATAGAAACTTAGTATAATACAGAATTAAGTCGTTGACCTTGTTATATAAATGACAGTTTAACTATCAAGCTGTTTTTCTTAAACTATTTTTTTTATACAAAACTTTACATAAAGGGCTTAAGAGACAATAAAAAAAATCTTTAGCTTAATTGACTCTGCCCCTTGCTACTATCATAGTAATATCTCAAACTTTTGCTAACTTAATTAACTGTATTATTCAAATTTCTAGCTTTTAATCAAATTTATCAGTAATTTTGATACACTTTAAGGTCTATAAAATATCATTAACAATGCACCACATGAAAGTAAAAGGTTTTCAAACATAAAAGATGTTAAACCTGACCTTACCTTTCATAATCTTTCATTCTGCCTAAAGGGGAACACATTATATAAGCAATTTTCTTTATGTGAAAGGAAACTTAAAATTGTTTCCCTATATCACTATAAAGATGTTTATCAAAATTTGTTTATGGATTTCTTATGTCTGAACTGAATCTAACAATAACAATTCTCCTGCAGTATAAGAAAATTATTTGAGCCGCGTCATGACAAAATCAACATAGTGATTGGTTTGCAACCAGCATGCATCTGCGCAGTCTGGTCAGGATCCATGCTGTTTGCTTACAAACCCTATAGCAAGTAGAGAAACTGATAGCGAACAGCATGGATCCTGATCAGACTGAGCGGATGCGCAGGCTGGTCTGGATCCATGCTGGTCGCAAACCCACTATGTTGGTTTTGTCATGACGCGGCTCATTTTCTTTCCAGCTAATCCTCAACAGAGAGGGATTATAAAAAAATTTGAAATATCCATTAAGATATATAAATTAGTAAAATTATGTTCTGTCTACAAAGAACTTATTCTTGTGATGACTTGGTGTTGTTATTATTTTCACTGAAGTGACAGTTCAAAATACATAAAGGAACAAACAGGAACATTATAATTATAATACCCTACCCATCAACATTTCTTAATCTATTTGACTATGCCAGGGGCCATTACTCTGGCCATTACTAACTTAAACAAAATGTCCCAGTCTTATCATTTAAGTTCCTTTAGCAACTTCAGTTAATAAATATTTCATGACATTCTCTCCAAAAAATACGAAAATAAATAAAATTTAATATAAGAATAAATGAATGAATTCCTAAGCCTTAAACATTAAGAAACACATATATATGACGCACGACGCGAGAAAACCGGTCTTAATGACACTACAATAAATGTGCACTACAGCGATTTAAATGACGTCACTCTTATTGCGTATACACATGTAAACACGGAAATGCTTTTTATCGTGTGTTATTGTTTTTTAAGTGTATTATCGTTAGAATTCAGAGGAAAGTTTATATGATGGAGGAGGAGTTAGAAGTAAGTATCTATAATGTATAATTTATGAAAAACAACAACAAAAATATATCATGCATGTTTATTTATCAGAGCATCGAATTGATAAATATTTACTGTTGGTAATTTAACACTGACGTTCAATTTACACTACAGTACTGTACTTTAAGTATGCTTTGAAATACAGAAGAATAAATTAATCGGCAACATACATCGGTGCCTTTATATAGAATAAATTTACGTTGTTTTGATCTTAATTAAATCAAAAAAATAGATGAATACAGAATCCCTAAAGAAAGCCCAACACGGCAAAATTAAATCAAAGTCTATTGTAGGGGTTTACCAATCGATCTCATATTTTATAGGCAGATCTAAATTTAGGTTAATTTAAGAATAATCTAATCAGTTGCAATTTAAATTAATACTCTTTTTCATAATTCATTTACAGCCATGCTTGAATTTTTTCCAAGCGTATTTTAATAAGATCAAATAAGATTTGTACTAAAGAATTTAAAAGAATGCATGTGAGCCACTGATTTCTATTCGGAGGATATCATGATTTCTATGACCGTGATTACAAATACCGTTGTTTTAAAAACATCAAATTTATGTTTTATTTTGGATATCCTTTGTTGTAATTTTATTAGAACGTGATCTATATAATGAGTGCATTAGACGTAGTGTTGCCACACGTGACTCTACAGCTTACGTTTATCCTGGTATTTTTTTCAGTTTGAAGCAAAATATTTACAATGATATAAGGGACAAGAGGTTTAATATATACTCAAAACTACCATCTTACACAATCAGATATACATCAGTAATAGGGATATACTACTAAAATATTACAACCACTACTTGTCAACTCATATAGTATCAGTTCAAATACCAGTACTGCTGCACCAGTATGTTTGGTTTGGAAGCAAATAAATACCAGTGCTATAACATTTTAGGGATTTTACTATCATTTTACCAAGTCTGTACACGTTATATTCTAGGACAAAATAAAAACCGTTACACTGGTTACGTTGGTTATTTTCTATGTTGGGCGATAAGACAGGACAGAATGAAAAGATCGAGTACCATATGCAAGAAACAGTTACTGATTCAAGAAATCTTCATTACTAAAGATTTTACTTACTTCTAGTTACTCGGCAATCTGAACTGATTTTGACACTCTTATCTGTTTTCTCAAAGACAAAATTAAATATGAACACTGTAGTATTGTTAAAAAGCACTTCAAATCGCAGCAGGTAATTAATGCTTTTCAATATTACAAAATAATTAAAATTTTCTTTTAAAGACACGCGCGGTGTTAAGTTGATGCGGGATTCGCACATCTAAAGGCATGATTTAGAAACACTTCAACAGCTGGCCGATGTTACAGAGAAGTCATCTACAACAAACAGCCGGTATGTTACCCCAAGCGGTCATGGCGGCAATGGAAACCCATTCTTGAGGGATTTTTCAAACCAGTTATTGGTATAAGGTAACCTATGTTTAACTCATTTAAATGTAAATGTTGAAACTCAGAACTCCAGACTCAGAAAATATCTTAAACATGAAAACTTAAGGGTTAATTTTTTCTTTAATCGTTTACAAGTAGCTTTATTTTCTTCTTTGATTAACTTTATATTTTGAAGAAAATGTAGATACTGTATAAATGGTCCTTAAAGAGTTATCTGTTAAAATACTTTATAAAATTTTTAAAAAAGCAAAAAA